CTGTTAGTTCAAGGTTATAGTTCCAGAAATAATAAAATAGACATTACTGTGGTCTCTAAACTTCTCATTTAGAACCTTCTATACCTTTGGCCTCAGCATAAATTTTCCCCTCCAGATATTAACACTAGTTGTCCCGTATGGCCCTGTTATTGGCCTGAAATGCCCTCTGAATGCCCTTCTCTAACTTTACAAATGATTTCTTTCTTTGTTAAAAAGTTAGCCTTTATTAAAGAGGCCTCCTGCTGTTAGCTAAAAGACAGGATCCTAGCGTTTTGTTCTTTCTAGATGGGACCTGCATCTTCCAGTCTTTGGCTGGTAGATGTTGGAAGCTTTGTACTGAGGTCGGCCTCAGTATGCCTTGGGTGACCAAGAGAAGTGGCCTCCACAGGGTTCCTTAAATTACAATACCATACTCCAATTAGACCTTTTCTATAAAAGTAAAAAAAAAAAAAAAAGTAAACTGAGGTCCCCTATACAAATTTCTCTCATTAGAAAAGCAATGGGTTCTGGCCCAGACCACTCAGGTTGGAAATGATTATATGGCTCAAGCAGTAGAGGCAGCTTTACAAGCATAAAGTCCCGAGTTCAAGTCCAGTACAGCCAAAGTAAGAAATAATAATAATAATATTTGGGGCTATGGAAGTAGCTCAATGGGAGAATGTCTGCCCAGCATGTGCACAGCCCTGGGTTCAATTCCCCAGCATTACTAAAAAAAAAATAAAAATAAAAAAAATGGTAAAGAAGATAAGTGGCATTAATGTCACTTCAGCCATCTCTAGTGGAAAAACGTAGTTTAACCTAGACCAGATCCCTCATTCTTAAAGCGAGGAAACTGAGGCCCAGAACAGTTCAGAGATTTGCTCTCCAGAGTGTCAGGTGTCAATGTAAAATAACAACTTTACTTTACAGCAACAACCTATCAGAAACCATACCACGGTGGACTCAGAGTCACAGGTGAGAGAGGTTCTCCTCAAAGATAAATTTCTAACAGTCAGTCCCAGATATTCGTAAAAAACTCAGACAGTGACTGAAGGAAAAGTCATTGAACCAAGTGATACAGCTAGCCATGTCTGTATTTATGGCTACGTCTGTATGTCCAGGACCTTACTAATAGGAGAGAAAAAGATAAGAGACACCATGGCCTCATTGCTGCTCTCAGAGAGGGCCCCACCCGACTGGGGCCTGTATCCTGAACTTGCTACCGTGGTGGACAGGAGGGGCACTTCTGCAGAGAATGCTTAAGGGCGGACAGCCCGGGAGACAGCCCCGCCCCCAACCGGGACCCTGCCCTCTGCAAGGGTAACCACTGGAGGTCTAAGTGCCCCCGCCTCCAGATGGAAGGCGAGGTGCCACCTCTTATGTATTGATGGGTCCAAGCCTCCTGTCCACACTCTACTTGGCATCAATGTTGAGGAGCCATAATGGCAGAAAAACAAAAGGTCATTTTCCTCCTAGATAGTGGAGCCCGTTTCTCTGTTTTACCTTTTTCTCCTGGTCCCCAATCCAATGACAAAAGTTATCGTTCGGGGCATCTGGCCAGTCCCTAGAGCACTAGTTTACCTGGCCTCTGGCCTGCTCCCCTCCCCCAGCAGCTATCTCTGCTGCTCCCTCCTTCAGGAACAAAGAAGATTCCACAGTGTGGACTGATGAGATGAGTGTAGGGTGAGCCAGGACAGCCCTCCCTATTCAAATAAAACTCAAAGATCCCTCACAGTTTCCACACCTAAAACAATATCCCCCCAAGCCTGAGGGAGGATGAGGCCTTATGTCTATTCCTAAAAACAATAAGGGCTACTAATTAGTTGCTCCAGCCCCTATAATAAATTTAAAATTCTTATAAAAGTTAATTTTAAAATACAAGTTACAAAGTAAACAACTGGAAAGGATATAGATAGGTAATAAATGTGGTTTTTGAGAAGTTAAAGGAAAAAGGAATGGTTTTTTGGATGAGAAGGGATTCTGCAAAGAAGGCGTTTGTCCTTAAGATTGTTTCAAATAGGAGGGATAAAAACAAGCCAAAGGGTTTAGTATGTTATATAAAGGTCTGAGTAAGTTTTAAAAGTGTATAATAAAAAACTTCGATGTGTGATAAAGTTAAACTTGAATATAATCTAAGAGTTGCCTAAAAGATTTTTAGGGTCATGTCAAACTAAAATCAAATCCTCTATGTCTATGAAATAACGAGGTTATCTTAATATTGTTCTGCTCTGAGTAACATCTACAAAAAACCATTACAGAGAAAGATTTTATCAAAGAAATTATTCGTGTTTTCTGCTGATCTTGTCAAGCTTTTAAGTACTACTAAATCAGAGTTCATTTACATATTTGCTTATGTGTCTTAAATGACCACCTTGTAACAGTGTTATGTTATACTTTATCTAAATATGGTACAAACATTTAAAAAGTTAAAGGTGTCAATTTATATAAAATAATGAGCTAAAGCTCTCTTTTATCCAAGAGTGTTACATTTAAATCCTGATAGCCCCTGCCTCCCACAGGTCACCTATCTACGTGTGGCCTTAAAGGGACAGACTCACTCCGAGTCATAAATGCATCAACCCAATCTTCCGTTTCCCAACCCCCATACCATAAGACAGTTTACAGCTTTCCTGGCAGTTACAGGATTTTGCAGAATTTAGATTCCTAGGTATGTAGTCCCTGAGCAGACACCTTTTTATGCTCCTCCTAATATTCCTATTTGGGTCTTAGATAATGTATGGCCACCCATTTCTCTTAGAAAAACTTGCCTCCAACAGACTCTGCTCCTCTGGCTGACTACCTGCCTTCTCAGGGAACTTCTCAGAGAGCATGCAAACCAGATCCTGCCCCACCCTATAACAATTTCTGTTAAACCAGGGCATCTTGTTCTCCAAAAGGATCTTCTACCCTCTCCATTGGGACTTCAATGGACCAGCCCTCATCTGGTCATTCTCATGACACCCACTGCTGTCAAGCTCAATGGGTCCCCCAATGGCGGCACCTCTCAAGAACAATTAGAAAAATGGAGAAGGGAATTGGAGGACTCTTGAAATCATCTAGGGAACAACATTTCACAGTGGTTCTCCTGGCCAATGCCCATCCTAATGCCTGTGTTCTCGCTCTCCTATTCTTAAGCTTTCTGCCTTGTATCATACCACATGTCTGCTATTGCTAATCAAAAGTTTAACCAGTTGTACCTCCAGGGATACCAACCTCTCCAAAACGCGAGGATAGTTGGCTGATACCCACCATGCGGAGGTCAGAGGATTGGCTCGAGACTCTTTATGACCTATGGCTACAAGGGACCTTCATCAACTTCAGGGAAGAGGAAATCTTCATTTTCGGATCCTGGGTGTACGCCATCATGAGGCTCAGCGCCCCAACATTGTTTGCCAACTAACCCTCCCTTCCCCTACGCCGCCCCTTGCCAGTTCAAAGAAGCCAGAGCGAACACAACGCCCCCCTTCCTTAACAAACAAAAAAGGAGGAATGTTGGTAATAATGGCGCAGACAGGTTTCGGTTCTTACTGCACCCTTAAGCTTCTGTTTTCCAGGGTCACGGTCCTGCCTCAAGTCTAGCTTGAATCCTCCTTCTGCCCCAACCTCCAATCAGCATGAACCATAAGATCCTAACCAATCAGATCATGCTGAGTCCCACTGAGGGGTATTTAAGCCCCTGCCCCTCTCTCCCTCTCTCTTGGCTCTCTTGGCTCGCTCCCTCTCCCACCCGGCAATAAAGACTCTCTTGGCCAGATCACTCCTCTCCACGTGGTCACTTTTGGGGCCCACATTTCCAACATAAGGGACTGAACCTTAAACGTGTGGAGTGCTAAATAAAAATTGTAGGAGGCCACTGTTTTAGAATAAGCTCTTGCTCTGGGGTCCCAGTAGACTATACTAAAAATTCCAGTGGAGTCACTCATACTAAAGTTCCAAACAAAAACTAAGTTGTTATCTGACCTTTGGAGAAATTAGATAATAACCAAAACTCCCCAACAGGCCAGGCTCAATCCACATGACAATAACATTCCCTCAGCTCTGACCCTCACATCCTGTAATCCTCACCAGAGTAACTGAAGTTAAGCAGGTATTTATTGTTCTGTCTCCTTGCCCTGCCTTCCAAGGAAAGTGACTCTGCAGGACCAAGCGCTTTCTGTCCCTTGTTTCTGTCTTTTCAGCCCTGGCTGTCTATAAAGCCAGCCTCTTCTGCTCAGGCCATAGGAACACTCACTCTATCCATTTTATGCAGGGAGCGTTGCCTGATGCTAGAATTTCAAAAATAAAGCCAACTGAGCCAGGCGCCGTGGCTCACACCTGCAATCCCAGCTACTTGGGAGGCAGAGAGCAGGAGGATCGCAGTTCAAAGCCAGCCCTGGGCAAATAGTTCTCAAGACACTATCTCGAAAGAAACCCATCACAAAAAAGGATAGGTGAAGTGGCTCAAGGTGTAGGCAGAGTTCAAGCCTCAGTACTGAAAAAAAAAAAAAAGCCAACTGAGATCTTTCTAAACTGAACTGTTGCAATTTTGTCCTTTGCTGGCAGTCCAAGGCTAACTCTGGAGAATTACTGTTAGACAGGACTGAATTGTTGGACATGAAGATGGTGTAGAGTCAGAGAGCTAGAAAGTCAGGAATTCAGACACACTCCCTAAGTATTCTAAGAGGAAAAACTGGGAGAGACCATTCTTGCTTATAAATGATTTCTATCTGTGGGTTATTTGGCAGATGTTTTATAGCTTACTTACCTTAGAATAGCGATAACAGAGAAACAAAACACACCCATTTGGATAAAAATAAGGAGGGAAACAGCAACTCAAGAACAGAGGTGAAGTCCACTTAGAATTTCTATTGTAACTACAACTGATTTTTTTTTTTCCTGAGACAGAGACTTGCTATGTACTCTCCTTGAACGCAAGATCTTCCTGCCTCAACTTCCCAAGTGCTGGGATTACAGACATGCATCCCCATACCCAGCTTTCTGGCCTGCTATTTTGAATGCAAAGACTTTTTTAAAAAACCAACCTAAAATTGCTCCAATGCCGATGAAAATTCCAGAGAGTCCAATGAGGCTTTTCTCTTCTGTTCCAAACTTGTTTATTGCCCCAATACAGGTTCCATACACACCAGAGAAGAAGGTCAATTCCAGACCTTTAGGGAGAAATCAGAATTACCTTTACATTCACATTTTCCTTGTCCTAGTTTTTCTTCACGTTTAGCAGTAGTTGTGCTATACTGATTAATATAAAGCAAACACATAAAACAAAGTTCACAGAAACTGAAACGTTACTCACAAGCAGACATCATTTTATGCTCTATGACTGGTGAGAGGAGTTTGCCACATATTTCAGACTGAATGCTTGTTTCGCCTCAAAATTCTTGTGCTCAAATCCAAATACTTGTGCTCTAAGCACATTTGGAGATTTAGCATGTAAGATGTAATTAGGTCTCCTTAGACAGAGAGACACCAGACAGCTCCCTCCCTTCCTTCCTGCTTGCTGTGATCACACAGTGAGAAGACTGCCATCTATAAACCAGGAAGAGGGCCTTCACCAGAACCTGACTATGCTGATGCTGACAGCCTCATCTCAAAATTCCAAGTGTCCAGAACTGTGAGACATCAATGTCTGTTATTTAAAGCACCCAGTGTATGGTAATTTGTTATAGCAACTCAAACCACAACACCACAAGAAGCTGTCTTATGTTTCAGATAAAAACCTGCAACTCAAAGAAGCAGACATCCTTATGTTAAAACCTGTCACTCTGCTTGACAGGATGGGCAGGGGCTATAATTAACACAAACTTGTAAAATGCTGAAGTGTGACTAGCTTAGGAGCAGCTTTCCAAAGCAAGCAGCAACATTCCTGTGCCCACTGGACTATATTCTTACTCTACCAGAAAGCCAAAACACACTATCCACTATTGTTTAAAGATAATGGTGATTTCACTAAGTCCTCTTTTCCTAGGAAAAAATAATACCTAAAATTAAAAAAATTAGAGCTGGATGCCAGTGGCTCATGCCTGTAATCCTAGCTACTTAGGAGGCACAGATCAGGAGGATCACCGTTCAAAGCCAACCTAAAAAGCCAGCCTGGGCAAATAGTTCATGAGATCCTATCTAGAAAAAACCCTTCACAAAAAACGGCTGGTGGAGTGGCTCAAGGTGTAGGCTGTGAGTTCAAACCCCAGTACTGCAAAAGAACATTAAGGTCAGTAGAAAACTTTTATTCCTTAATGCTATAAAGCCTTACATGTGAATTTTAAGGATGTTTACTCTTAATTTTCTCTGAAAATGATGAGGCATATAAAAGTAAAAGTAATAACTGGCACACTGCAACACATTTTAAAAGACCATCATTCTTACAACCAGCTGCTCTGCCTCTTATCACACCACACTGTCACACACTTCTATTTCATTACAAGGGATCTTAGTGGGTCTGATGGTACACGCCTATGATCCCAGCATTTGGGGCAAGGTGGAAGGCTCGTGAGCTCGAGGCCAGCCTAGATTACATACAAGACCCGATCTAAACACACATACACACACACACACACACAAAGTAATCTTAGTTTATATAAAGTTACAGCAATGTACTCCTGGTTATTTCTGGAACGGTCCCCATGAACCATGGGTCCCAGGTTTCTTGCCCTTGTGTAGGATTCCCAAATTGAATTCAGGCAGCACAATGCAGTGGAAGTGATGCTGGGCCAGATCCAGGCCTAACCTTTAAAGAAGGTCTGGTAGTTTTTTCTGTTGCCCGTTTGTGGGGTCTTTAGCCACTAAGAAGTCTGGCTCTCCTGCTGGAGATCTTGTGGAGGGATCATGCAGATGGACAGGATGAGTGAGTGAGTGAGAGAGAGAGAGAGAGAGAGAGAGAGAGAGAAGGTGCCAGACATGTGAGTAAAACTATCATGGAGGGTCCAGCCCAGTTGCCCTCTGAAAGCAGTCACAGGAAATCTCAAGTGATACATCAGAAAGGTTGCAGCACAGAGCAAAGAGCACAGTCAAGGTCAGAAGTGTGAGGAACAATGACAAGGCTATTGTTTTCAGCCCTTCCTGTCATTATGCAGCAAAAGAAAACCAAAATAGCAAATCCATTACCTGTGTAAGCAGTTGTAACACTAAGAAGGAGCATCTCCTTGGTGACACATAACTTAAGAGACTTTTCTGTAAAGAAAAAAAAAATTAGGACTACTTAAGTAGCATTCTAAAACATTTCTTAAATAATAATAAAGCCAGTAAGCAAATACTTTGGGACAGAAATTAAATTTTCAGGTTAAAATGCATACAGTATGAACTAAATCTATCCAATAAATAGAATGTTTATTTCATGTGCTTAAATACATTCGAGTTGCATCCTCAGTAAGTGCTCCAGCTCTTACAACAATATCACGAAGGGGAAGGGAAAACCAGAATCAAACAGAACAAAACAAGACTTCCACAGACATGATTAAAGGAACGCTGGCTCCCCTGGGGAACCATCGCAGAGCAGCACAGTGCTAAAGCTGGGCTCCAGGTCTGAGCCACCAGGGAGCACCATCCCCAGGCTCACCTGCAGCTTCAGCTCTGGGAATCTGCCTGCATCACTTCAATTTACTTCAAAACAGCAATGGAGAATGTATTTCTAAAAAAGCCACCTTTCGTAACTTAGGGACCACCAGTCTACAGTATACTAAACTCAGAGTGGACCCAGACTTAATTTTCTTAACTGTCCACCACACAACTTAAATAAGTCACAAACACTGCTGTGGATCTCTCTGTATGCAAAGCAGGATACTTTTTTCTCTGCTTGCACTGAAATACAGTGAGAGCAAATGCAACAAGAAATTTTCACCAATAATTTCTAGTAATTTGAAGAGAAAATACAAAAAATAAAGCTTAAAACACTGTCTTTGATTAAAGAAACTACATTAGCAAAGCATATTCATAGTCAGAAGATCCAGCTACCAAGAAGAAATTTTATGACATTCTGATTTTTTTTTTTGCAGTATTGGGGTTTGAACTCAGGGCCTCATGCTTGATAGGCAGGTGCTCTACCACTTGAGCCACTCCACCAGCCCCTTCTATGACATTCTGGATAGTGGTCGTTATACACAGAATGCAGGACAGCAAGAACGAGCTCTTGCGTAAATCCTGGTCTCTGGGGTACAGTACTATACCAGGGCAGGGCTATGGATGACAACAGAGGTGGGGACAATGACACTGGGGGAAGCTGTGTAGGGCAGAGGGACCACTGGACCTCTATATTTGCTGATTGATTCTACTGTGAACCTAAAACCACTCTAAAAAATAGACTTTTAAGACATCGACACACAATCTTTTTGCAGAAAGTAACGAATTGATTATAAAATGCACATGGAAATTCAAGGGACCCACAGCATCTAAAACAATCTTGACTCACACTTCCCAAACATACAGCAACTGATGCCACTTGTTACTGGCATGCGGATAGATACGTATGTCTAAAAATAAGTCCTTACATTTAGTGTCAACTGAGGTTTCTTGGTGGTTCTGGGGTTTGAGCTCAGGGCCCCCCACTTGGTAGGCAGGCGCTCTATCACTTAAGCCACGCCCCCAGCCCTTTTTGCTTTAGTTTTTAGATAGGATCTCCTGCTTTTTGCCTAGCATTGACCTTGGCTAGAGATCTTCCTAACTATGTCTCCCAAGTAGTTGACATTACAGACACAAACCACCATGCCTGGCTTGTTTATTGAGATAAGGTTTCGCTAACTTTTTGCCTTGAACCATGATTCTCCCAATTTCCAACTTCTGAGTAGTTGTGATTATAGACATGCACCACCACACCCAGCCCTGTCAATTGATTTTTGAAATGAGTGACAGCACATTGAGAATAGGCTTTTCAGGAAATGGTGCTAGACCAATTGGATATTCACATGCAAAAGAACAAAGTTAGACTCCTATTATATAGTCTATGTGCAAAAATTAACTCAAAATGCATCACAGACCTAAATGTAAGAACCAAAACTACAAAACTCTAAGAAGAAAATATAGAAGTATATTTTCAAGACCTAGAGTTAGCAAAAACACACACAACAGGAGAAAAAAAATAGGACTTTATCAAAATTAAAGTTTTATCAAAACCACACTATCACCTTCCACCTGTTAGCATGGTTATTACCAAAAGGACAAAAGATAACAAGTGTTGGAAAGGATGTGGAGAAAAAGGACCCCTGTATTGTTGGTGGACATGTAAATAAATTATTACAGCCACTATGGAAACAGTAGGGAAGTTCCTCAAAAAATTAAAGACAATTACCGTGTGATCTAGGCATATATTCAAAGGAGATGACATCAGTACCTGGAAGAGACATCTGCAGGCCCATGCTCACTGCAGCACCATTCAAAGTAGCCCAGACATAGAAACAAGCAAATGTCTTTGATGGAAGAATAAAGAAAACGTGACACAGCTGGCGGAGTGGCTCAAGCACTAGAACTCCTGCCTAGTAAGCCCTGAGTTCAAACCTCAGTACCACCCAAAAAAAAAAAAAAAAAAGAGAGAGAGAGAAAGAAAAAGTTTCTCACACACACAAATGTTATTCAACCCTCGAAAAAAAAAAAAGAAGAAAGAAAGAAACCCTGCCTTTTGGGACAACATGGTTGAGCCTAGAAGACATTACACTAAGTGAAAAGGGCCAAACCCAGAAAGGCAAACGCTGTCCAATCTCGCTTATCTGCGGAAGCTAAAAAGCTGAACTCGTGGAAGCAGGGAGCAGAATGGGGGTTGTCTGATGCGGGCAGGGTGAGAAATGAGGCAATGCTGATTAATTACGTGAAGTGATCGATATGCTAAGTAACTTGATGGTAACAGTCATTCCACAATATATACTTACATGAAAATACCATAAAGTATACCATAAATATACGTAGTTTTAATTTTCATTTTTACTTCAATAAAGCTGTCATTCACAATATATAATCAAATGAAAATACCATAAATATAGTTTTAATTGTCATTTATATTTCAATAAAGCTGCTATTTGCAATATATGCTTATATGAAAATACCATAAAGTATACCATAAATATACAATTTTAATTGTCATTTATACTTCAATAAAGCTGGAGGGGAAATTTTTAAATTCATGCTTCAGAAGATACCATTAAGGGCCCAATTTGTTAGAGCACCTGCCTAACAAGCATAAGACCCTGAGTTCAAACCCCAGTGCCACCAAAAAACAAAAATAAAAAGATGCTACTGAGAAAATGAAAAGTAACCTATACGATGGGAGGAGAACTTGCAGATCATACATAGAAGGGACTTTTATCTAGACTGTATAAAGTACACGCATAACTCAATAATAAAAAGACAACTCAATTTAAAAATAGCAAACGATCTGGGTGGAATTTCTCCCAAGAAGATATATACCAATGACCTATAAGCAGATGGAAATACAGTCATTAACCATTAAGGAAATGCAAATCGAAACCACAATGATATATCACTTCACACCCACGGATGGCTTACAATCAAAAAGACAGGAAACAGAAGCAAGGATGTGGAAAAACTGGCCCCCTGCTGGTGGGATGTAAGGTGCCTCAATGCAGCAACTCCTCCTTCGGCTGAGCACTGAGACACCACAGACCAGCAGCTCCACTACTCCTAGGAATATATACCCAAGGGATCTGGAAACTTATACTTGAGAGCTGGGGATGCAGCTCAGTGGCAGAGTGTTTGCCTAGCATGCACAAGGTCCTGTGTTTAATCCCAACACACACACACACACATAGTATGTGAGTGTTCATAGCAGCACTAGTCATGACACCTAAACAGTAGAAACTACTCAAACTTTATAACATTCTGTAGCATAGAAGAACCTTGAAACCATATGCTAAGTGGAAGAAACCATTCACAAAAGACCATGTATTATATGATTCCATACATATGAAATGTCCACATCAGGCCAATCTACGGACAGAAAAATAGACCAATGGCCAGCTAGGGCTACAAATCGGGGTAGGAGGGGAGGGGGACCTAGAATTGGTTGCTCACAGGTATTAGGGGATTCTTTCTAAAATGATGCACATATTCTAACACCACACACTCTATGAATACCATAAACTGTACTGCATTTGCATCCAATTAAAAAATTGTTTAAATAATGAATTGTATGGTATGTGAGTTGTATCTTTAAAAGTGTTCTATTTTAGAATAATCTGTAATACTTTAATAAATCTCTTTCCAGATTCTTTCTCTTTTTACAAAATCAAAACCCACTGTGTATACCACTTTATAACCTGTTTCACACAGTCGGGCAAGTGCTTTTGAACATATGTAGAGCTATTTCAACAGCTAGGGTAACCTCTCACCTAGACAGACTGATGTCTCCCAGGTGGATATTTAAATCACTTCCGGTTTCTGACTAATAAAATAGCTCTTAGCAGAAGTTCCTGTTCCCTACGGATAATCTTGTTAGTGAAATGAGTTCCTTGGATCACAATCCTCCTCCATCTACCTCCCAGGTAGCAGGATAAGGCTGGTGGAGTGGCTCAGGTGGCAGAACTCCTGCCTAGCAAGCATGAGGCCCTGAGCTCAAACCCCAGTACCACCAAAAAAAAAAAAAAAAAAAAAAAAGTAAAACCAAGTAGCTGGGATTACAACTATATACCACCATGAAGGCTGAGACTCACCTTTACTGCTATACAGGCACGGACTTTACTCCACTTGCCTTGCTGTTCCAATGTTTTCAAATTAATTTTTAAAGATGTCTTAAAGTTTATCAGGGTAAGCCCCTCAATCCCTTCTTAAAAACTCTTTTGCTGTCTTGGCTGTTTCTAGGCATTTATTCTAATTCTAGCACAGGAACTTTAGCATTGTTTTGACAAGATAGAAAAATAAGTATTTAGGGCGTGGGGGGGTGGCTCCAGTGATAGAGCATCTACCTAAGCAAGCATGAGGCCCTGAGTTCAAGCCAGTATCTCCAAAATAAAAATAAGTAAATTTTTAAAAATTTCACTAGCATGTTCTAGAATCCCATAAACTTTGGCATTCAGTTCAGGAATTGAGCACGTTCAGATAAGCAGGAACCTTACCTGTGCCCCTCCCTCACAGCACCAACTGGAGAAGCAGCATGACTAATTAATAAGCAGGAGAACCCCTGGCTGGCAGACAAGTTATTTTTTGCATTCTCTCTTTCTCCCCCTGACTCTGGCTGCCCTGCTGCCTCAGAACTCATGCTGCTCCACAACCAGAAGCCACCATCTAAACCTGCTTCCCTCAGCACTGTCTGTGCCTCATCCTCCTTGGCTGCTGTCACCTTGCCCCATTCAAAACTGACAGCCTACTATCCTCTCACAGCTGACCACCACCACGGAATGGACCAGCCCCATGATAAAACCCATGTGGATAAAACCCATGTGGCCCAAAACGCTCCAGCATCTCAGAGTACAGACGGAGATGAGGCAGAGTTTGTCTACTATGTCGGAAGGCCATCCTGACTCTGAACAACAGCCAGCTGGGGGCTTCTGTAATTTAGGAGCAGGGAGGTTGCACCAAGCTCACAGCACTGGGAAACCATCGTAAGCCTGAAGGCCGTCCATCTCCCTCTCCTAACCTGAAGCTTGCCACATAAGCCAGTGTGACTTTCCAGGCCTCTGAGAAGAATAGCCACAAAAGGGTTCATTTAAAAATATTGCAAGCCTTCCTCCATTGTTAAATTGCAGTTTCTGTGACCTACATTAACTTGATTGAGTCCTTTCCCTTGATTCTTCTGATCCACAGTGAGTCTTCTGACAGATAAGTTCCTAGGCCTGCAAAGCTAAAAGCCAGACTTGTGATGGTGGTGACCTCCCATCTTGGTAGGGCAACTGGGCTATCGTCTATTCAGTTATACACATAGCACAATTTGTATTTATGAATGCATTCCCAACACTAAAAAGTACACAAAATAAAAGCCTGATAAAACAGCTCTAATGATACACTCAGTACACAAGGCTCAGGCCTGCATGCTCTCAGGCCTTTCTAGAAGCAGGCTCGGCCGAGGGCATGCTTGCCTCTTCTGAGCCAAGCCATAGCCAATTACATGAGGAATTTCCACTCTAGCTCTAGGCAACCTGATGGCCAGTCTTAGAGGCTATAATGCCTGAGACCTAATGGCTCACTGGAGGCTTACTCTAAGTGTGGCCCCCAAAGGCTGCTTCCATGGAGAGTGAGGCCTTGGTAAGATTCTCCCCCAGGGAGACAAGAAGCCAAAAGAGCCGTGAGTAGAAGCTGGAGACAGGAGTCTGTGGCTGAAGGAGCCACACATGTCTAATACGTGAGCCTCTGGCTCTGCCCATCTCAGAGTGGGGCTCAAATCCCAGCTCTAACACCTACTGCCTAGCCGCTTGACCTTCAGCAAATTATAAATTTCTTTCTACCAGTCTGAACCCCAAGATCACTGACAGCCTGTCAGTGAGATGCTGCTGGCTGGCCAAAGTTAAAGCCTGGATGCTGATAACCACATGCTCCCAGCTGCTGAGTTATCACACACTCCCAAGCACTGGGGTGGGGCTCGCTTCTCCAATCATTGGCCATCGAATACAACGTCCTGAGTCCTGCCCACAACAACCACGTGGGTATCTGTGAACGGTACTGAGAAGGAAAAGAGCTAGCAGACTTGTTGACAACGTCTGGAAGCATTTTCTCTAAAATGAAGACAAAGATAGCTGCAGCATACAACATGCAGAGATCTGCTGTGAGAATCACAGGAAGTAAACCACATGAGGAGTTCAGCAGAGAACCTGGCCAGGAAGGCCTCTCAGTCCATGAGTGACTGGCTCTTGTTAGCCACCAGGTCACTGGAGCCACTCCTCTGCTCACCTCCCCGTGTGAACTCCCACAGTCCCCACGCCTAAGGGAACCTGAGTGCAGCACTGCTTCTTCCAGCCCCCCTCACACACCTGTTCAGATGGGCAGTCATGTTATCATTCATCCCTCATACCCCTGTGTTAGACAATTATGGAGCAACTCGTTTATTTTAGAGCTGCACATCTGGAAAAATTAAAACATTAATAGATCATCAATCCAAAGTTAGCACGGAAAGGGGAGAAGGGGCTGGTGGAGTGGCTCAAGTGGTAGAGCACCTACCTAGTAAGCATGAGGTCCTGAGTTCAAACCCCAACACCGCCAAAAGGAAGAAAAAAAAAAAAGAAAATGCCGGGTGCCAGTGGCTCACACTTATAATCCTAGCTATTCAGGAGGCAGAGATCAGGAGGCTCATGGTTCAAAGCCAACCCTAGGCAAATAGTTTAAGGAAAAAAAAAAAAAAAAAAAGACCTTGATAAAGAGGAGAGGAAAATGATGAAGTTTTGTATTTTCGGCACAGAAAATACTTACTAAATGCATCTACTGCCTTTGTCACATTGTTCTGGGCAGACCTGAGGAAATAAAATAAATCAATTTTTCCCTTGAAAATTAAAGAGCGCAAAATACTATGCAGACACTAAATTGCTATGCTGTTTTTACTTAAGTTCATGAAAGCTCTGTTCTCTGTGTAGCCAGGCAATATTCCTGTCCCATGGTCCTCAGGGCCCAGGGGCCAGCGCCTCTTCATCTGAACGGAAGACAACTCTTTCAAAACTCACCACACACAGTCATGTACCTCCTCTTCAGAAGTGACACTGCAGGGAGGACGGAAATGCACTCTACCTTCCTACTTTCAAACTGTAGAAATAATCCTTGACTACTCAATGGTTGCATCATCCACATTATCTAAAAATAAACCTTTCAGCATTAAAATTCTTCAAAACCATGAATATCCTGCACGTGACACAGCGGTGATACAAACTAATCTTTTGGTTAAAAACACGGGGCTTTGGCCACAGAGTCCCAGCTTCAATACTTATTAGTCATGTGGTTTTAGGCAGTGATTTCATTTCTCTAAGTTTTATTTCCTCATTTGTGAAATAAGGATTCTATCACTTACCTGTAGGAGATAATGAGATAATATAATTTAAATATGATTGATAAGATTATAGAAAAAGTTTTAAAAACATCTTACAAACCTACCAGCCAAGTCTACTTCTCCTAGATATTTAACTATTGTTTATAAAAAAAAAAGAAACCTAACAGAGGTCCAGTTAACTTAAGAAATAAACAAATTACTGATTACAAAAAAAAAAAAAAAAAGGTGGGGGCAGGGGGGAGAAATGAACCAAGCCTTGTATGCACATATGAATAATAAAATAAAAATGAAAAAAAAAAAAAAAGTAGCATGGTCTAATCAACAGTAAAGCTTTCTGGAAGCATATACTATTTATTTAGACTCCATAATGTGGGAGTACCCCCATTTGTACAGTTAACTGGACAGGAGCTGCTGGATGATTCCAGACCTCAAAATAAGTAGGAACTGAAGTATACTCTACCCACCATTAAAATGCAATAAATTCAGCTGTAAATCACTTACAATTCAATTCAGTGAGATACTAAAGGAAGACATCTGTAATATAACAATGCTTTTGTGTGTGTATAAGGTGAGAGAGTTTATAGAGATAGGAAAGTGTAAAGTGGGAGAGTAGAACCTCCAGAGTTGGGAGGGAGGGGTCCCAAGAATGGGTGCCCATCTAATACAAGAATTCTAAAATAAGAGCCAGGCACAGTGGCACACACCTGTAATCCCAGCACTCAGAAGGCTGAGGCAGGAGGATCCTGAGTTCAAGGTCAACCTTAGGTGAGACCCTATCTCAAAAATAAAAGCAAACAGACAAATGAACAAAAAAAGAATTCTAAAATAAGACAACCTCCAGCTACCCCAGGTATGGGCAGGACAAAGCTGAACATTAAGTGAGACAGTCTGTCATTGATAGAAACCTTGTTAGGTGGTGTGTGACTGTGTGTGTGTGTGTGTGTGTGTGTGTGTGTGTTAGTTATACATATGTATACAAACCCACACATGCATATCCAAACCAAAATACCACCTTTCCTTGCTTGAAATAAACTTAGTGCAAATTCTGAACACTTAAAGATCCTGAATAGAGGATTTTAGGCATTTTTTAGGTTAAAAAAGGAACACAAAATGCTCAATCCTAAAGTTCTGATGATAAATTAGGCATGATGGAGCATACTTATAATCCCAGCACTGAGGCAGAGGCAGGAAGATCATGAGTTTGAAACCAGCCTGGGCTACATAGTGAAACTCTGTCTAAAAAAAAATGTTCACAATTTATCAATTTATAAACAAAGCAAAATGAAGGTGGCTAAGACTGATTTCTCATTCTCCCTGTCAAAGTCTAGAGACACTACAGAGAGATTGCCTGCACTGTTCTAAACAGTGTCACTACCGAATGTGCTCAGGTGACTTACAACATTTACAAAAGCACAGGGCTACATGTTTATTTCCCTATTTGCACCACTTTGGGAAAAAACACCTATACAGTTAGTACAAGAGCCAGGCACTGTAAGCCAAGAGCCTGGTGGTAACAACTGCTGGCGGCCCTGCCACTCACTTATGGCACAGGAACTGGAAAGCTTTCGAGCTGGATCACAGAAACAGGAAACAGAGAGCAAAGACTGTTTTCTGTTTCACTTTATGGAAACACAGAGAGACCTGCTGAGTGAGCGAGGAATTGAGGCCCAGAGGCAGGAAGGGATTACAGCTACTGCTCAGCTCACAGATCTGTGGATAAGCCAGGACAGACCTAAACCCTTGTAAACCTTGAACTATCTCCCTTCCTCAGGTGGCCTTTTCCTTCTTCCTCCTTCACAGCCCCTTTATCTTTGCCTGAAAGCTCTTCCCTCACAGCTGCCTGTAGTAACCTACAGAGAGTATCAGGTGTCAGTTACAGTTCTCCAGACTAGATTTACTCAAAATCTACTTCACATAAAAAGCAATATTTCCAACTTCTTACTCGTTGACTTCCAGGTCCTGGTCATCAGAAGACTCATCTTCTCCAAGGACATTTTCAGACTCTGGTTTCCGAATGAGAAAGAACAGAACTGTTCCCACAAGGCTGATCACTGTTAGGGCTATAAACACTGTTCTTCGGTCACTCTCTAAGGAGAAATGAAACGAGAGTCAATGGCATTGACCAAACTATCAGAATCAGTGTTATCAGTGAGCAACAACCTGCTTCTAATTCATTAAACTTTTATTTTAATGTATCAGTTACAAACAGAATGAGGAGGTAAATGGGCCATTTCCCACCTCTGTCCTTCTGTTAGAGAAATATAAACAAGACAAAAGAAAAACTGCACAGGAACACAACCGTGCTCTCTGATACAGGAGGTGCACGGCTGAAACAAGTGCACACGAAAAGCCTCCTGAGGATGGACAGCACGTCCACGCACAGCGTAACCTTCTCTGCACTGTGAGCCGCCCCCACCCCCAGCACAGTCACTAGCCGTAACTCTCATTTACTGATGTAATCCAAGGAAAACTTAGAAAAGCAACCATCTTAGAGAACGTCAGATAATGGATTTCATTAGAATGATGCTTGAATAAAAGAATAATGGGTCTTTCTATGGAACTGCCGTTATGCTTTGAACCAATCCAAATAAAGCAACATGAATAAAACAAACCTGATATCTGAGTTTTCCCTTGCCAGGCAAAATATATGTAGAGATTTCCAAAGAACAAGCTGGGGGGGAGAAAAGAGAGGAGAGGATGGTGGAAAATTATTGTAAAACTTATAGTTTCTAAAAACAATTATTCCTATTATTTACTGAAAGAGGGAGAGATAAGAGAGACCTAATTTTTAAATTTACAGGATATATCTACTGTAAGTTATTTAAAACTATCAACTCCACCCTGACTTTCTGAGAAATTTAACTGACCCAGATGGAATTCTGACTCCATGCATGTGACAGCAACCTGACTCAGAGGCACCCTTCAGAGGACTTGACTCACTTTGAAACACGTGATGACTGGAACTCTAGAAATAATTCCTGGGAATTATCCTTTAAAAAATCTCAAATGTTAGAGAATCTGTTTTTTTAATCTATGATTTATTTATTTAGCATACTTTCCTGGGGATGGATTCATTCATTTACACTCCTGTTTCTTAACCTACAACTCCTTCAAACCAAACATTTGCACAGGGCGAGGTGGTAAACACCTGTAGTCCTAACTATTCCCAGCTACTTGGGAGGCTAAAGCAAGAGGACTGAATTGAGTCCAGGAGTTCAAGGCCACCCTGGGCAACACCATGAGACTATTCCGTCTCAAAAGAACAAAAGTAAAACTAAACATCCACAAAGGTAAATTCTCAGGACAGATTCCTGAAATCCAAGAGTGCTTTTTTTCTTAGGAAATAGTAATATGCTATAGCATTCAGTACTGGTATGAGTAGTTTCACTTCTGAATTTTAGTATTTGTTAAGAGGTATCAGGCAGTGCAGTTCAGTGGGAAAGATGGGGCTGTTGGAGTCCAGATAACAATAGCTTCAGCTCTGAGTCTCTGTTTTCTCATCTGTAGAATGGAGATAATATCTTCTCACCTCATGAGTTTGTGTGAGGATAACGTGAAATTAAATAAATAACCCAAAAGTCCCTGAAATATAGCAAATGCTAGATACACAAAGGTTAATATTACTTTCTATTACTAATCATAAGTTTGAATAAGGTAGTTCCATGCATTTTAGGTAATTCCGTGGAATCTGAGTCAGTATCATGTTCAGCTAGCAACTTAAGTCATATAACATGCAAGATCTGAATTTGCAAAAAGCAAAGACCTAATAAACGATGTGCCAAAAAACCAACCAAAGAAACAAACAAAAAACAAAGAAAAGATTGAGCTCCAAAAGGATTGTTACCTAGATTGTAAGAGTGCCCAGAAAATTCCACTGTTTCTCCCAATAGTGTGCTCATCTGAATTTATTGTCAGGCAGTTTCCTTGTGCTGTCCAAAGCACTAAAATTCAAATCAAAAGTTTATCAAGGGAATGAAATCACTTGGCTTTACATACTAAATACATAAATGATACCCTTTATAGGCCCCAGAAAACAGATGTGATAAAAACAAAAATGCTCACCAGCAGCTGCAATTCCAATAAACACAGATGCTGTGTAGAAGGACCACGTGAAAGGCTGGATAAAAACGGCAATGTACATGCTAAAATATAACAGGTCAACGAAATATGGTCAAACAATACCTGAAATACAATGCAAAGCATGCCTTCTAGGAGTCAGTTCTGGGGGTTCTCTTCTTTAAAATTCAACCTGTAAAGCACTTCCTTGCTTTTGAAAAAGGGCCAAACATGGGATACTCATTTCTTTTCTTTCTTTTTTGGTGGTACTGGGTTTTGAACTCAGGGCTTCATGCTTGTAAAGCAGGCACTCTACCATTTGAGCCACACCTCCAGTCCATTTTGCTCTGGTTATTTTGGAGATGGGGTCTCACGAACTGTTTTCCAGGGCAGGTGTGGAACCATGACTCTCCTGATGTCAGCCTGCCAAGTAGCTAGGATTACAGGCGTGAGCCACTGGCACCCTTCTCATTTCTTTCTTTCTTTTTTTTTATTTCTTTTATTCATATGTGCATACAATGTTTGGGTCATTTCTTCCTCCTTCCCCCCGCACCCTTCTCATTTCTTAATTTACTATTTCAAATCTGTAAAATCAGACTTTTTACAGGTTTGCAATGGCCGACAGCAACAGTTTAACATACGATGATGCACTGTAGCTCTACAGCCCAGGAGCACTTCGTTATTTCACGTGGCTCCCTGCTGGTCACCTTGAAAGAACATAAAATTATTTCACAAAATAATAATCCTCAGGGAAAGAGACTGGTGGATACTTTTTATTAAATAATAAAACAAAAACGGGTATATGCTGGGCTCTGGTGGCTCATGCCTGTAATCCTAGCTACTCAGGAGTCAGAGATCAGGAGGATCACTATTTGCCAGCCCAGGCAAATAGTTCAAGAGACCCTATCTTGAAAGAAACCCATCACAAAAAAGGGCTGGTGGAGTGGCTGGAGGTATAGGCCCTGAGTTCAAACCCCAGTACCCCACACACACACACAAAAAAGCTGATATACATTAGGCATAGTGGTGTGTGTCTGTAATCCCACTCAGAAGGCTGAGGCAATAGGACCTCAGTTTGAGGCCAGCTTGGGCTAGTGAGACCTTGTTTTACGAAACAACAATAAAAAAAACCGCCACCCAACATACCTAACATACACAGGTACCATCAATTAGATCAGTTAGACCAGCACGACGTAGAGAGCCAAGTCCCCTAACATACCATTTACTTTATATTGGTCCAAGTCTGAAAGCTCTTGTTACAGTTTACTGTTACTTCAAGGGCCAGGGTGTAGCTCAGTGGTAGAGTGCCTGGCATGCATAAGACCCTGAGTTCGATCCCCACCACCACCAAAAACATGTCTACTATGGGCTAGAAAGAGGCTGGAAGAGTTCTAGTGAAACAAATGAAAGAAGACTTCACTACTCACCTGTAAAACAAACCGCTGGCAAACATGGAGAGTTGTGGTCCTACAATGGCAACCACTGAGGGTGTGATCAAATTTGAAGCAGAGAACACGCCATAAATAATTGCCATGCTGCACACATAACACACAAGAGGGAAAAAAGAACAAAATCTTTAAGTACTGTCTCAAAAGTTCACTTTGAGAATTCTATTTAGATGGACCGGGGCTTTGCTTGGAGCGGTAAAGCACCTGCCTAGCCAGTGTGAGGCCCTAAGTTCCAACTCCAGTACCACCAAAAAAAACCCCAACCAAACCAAAAAACCCATAAAATTCTATTAAGAGGCTATAGATTTTGCAACAAACTTACATATTCTTTAGTCTGAACTTATAATTCTTAAACTGAATACTAGGTTTAAGTTTTCATTTGTACAAGATATTGAAGTGCCATGAGATATTTCTTTAAATCAGTTCTCTGTGGAGGTAGGTTTTCAACCCATTGACAAGTTACAATAACAGCTAATACATAAGAGGTGCTTTAGAGATATATCTTCTCTTAAGCCTAACAGCTCTAGGAAGAAGGTTATCGTGATTACCCCCATTTTACAGAACATTAAAATACACTGGAGTGAAGTAAGCTCCCACGAGTGCAGCTGGGTAGCTGATGAATGGTGAGCTAGGATCCCATCCCTGGCAATGGGACTCCAGGTACCTAGCCTGCTCTACAAACTTGGCCGACAACTCCTGGCAATGACACATTTCTTTGCTATAAATAACAAGCACAGAATTACAACTTGCTTAAACCAGAATTTATTTAACCCAAATAATACTCCCATTAAAACATTTTCAGTTACTACTGACCCATCCCTACTACACGGGTCTTGCACAAATGGACTAAAACAATTTAGAGTCCTGATTTCATTTACTCACCAGTGTTTGATCTAAAATTTCAAAGTAAATTATTCTTGGCTTTCACAAGTCTCTCAAATACCAAAAGTGTCCTTTCATTTGTTCTTTAGAAGACACATGACTACAAAAAGCTGGGATAATTATAAATCACTTGGAAAAATGGACACTAACATTCCTTTATTCTTAAATATCATATACAAGGCTTAGGATAAGCAATAAAGCACCAAAATAATAATGGCGGCTGGGGGTGGGGGGCGGTGCCACAATGCAATATCTACCTATAGAAAAATTAAGAATTCTATCTATATAACTCAATTTAGCCATCCTGCAATGTATACATATTTAAAAGAAATATGTACAGATAAACATATACAATTTGTCAATTTAAAAGATTTTTTAAGAAGGGAAATCAGTGTGTGTACCATGCATGTATTATACTCCCAACTACAATCCCAAGGTATGTGTGACTTGTTAAAGGCTTTCATTGTTTCCATCTTTAAGGACTAAACACCTTAAAAGAACTAAAAGCTCCTGACAAAATTACAAATTGCAAATTAAATTACAATAAAAAATGGAATTACAAGGGCAGAAAGAGCAAATGTTTCCAAGAATGACAAGAAGCATCTGTTCAGGACTGGGAACATGTAATTGTGACAACACTTGAGTGGTTATTAAATGTCATGCACTATGACATAGTGCTTTAGATCCACCATCTGACCAAAGACTGAACTCACAGAAACAACCTGCCAAGGTAAGGAAGCAATCAAGTTGTGAAGCCAGGTTTCAAACTCAGTGTCTAATGCCACAGGAAACCTAAACTCTTCATCCGTTTTTTTTGTCCTTTTTGTTGGGACTGGAATTTGAACTCAGGGTTTCACAAGTACAAAGGCAACACTTATAAAGCAGGTGCTCTACCACTTGAGCCACTCCTCCAGTTCATTTTACTCTGGTTATTTGAGAGATAGAATCTCACAAACTATTTGCCCAGACTGGCCTCAAACCTCGATCTTCCCGATCTCATCCCCCCAAGCAGTTAGGATTATGGGTGTGAGCCACCAGCACCGGGCTAAACTCACCATCTTTCATTGCACTGCATTCTCCTCAACAGAGCAGTTTAGATACCGACCAGGAAAAAAAAAGCAACCGCTCCCATTCAAGCACGGTATGGTATTGCTGGAGATCATGGTAGGATTCAAGCAACTATTACACGTAGAGTAAGCACATAGTACAATACCTGGTATATCCACTGCCGTGAAAATCGGTGCTATTTAAGCTCCTGATGACGGTTTGCTGTGTGGAAGATAAAAGTAATCAATGAAAACGTTTTTGCAATATCACTCCCCCTTGAAAAGTCTGGTTCCAAGTACTCAGAAGGAAAAAATGTCAAAATTCGCAGTGCTTACCACTTAGCACTCTCCATCATGAGAGGAGAGAAAGGACGAAACTGGATACAAACCAATGGGGTGGGGGGAGCCTTCGCCTTGGGCTTCACTGCCTGAACCATCCAAATACTAACTTAACACAGACAAGAAATAAAACGACTAGGGTCCAACCCCAAACCAAACCGGGAAATACCGGTCCCTAAAGGAGAAATGCCTGACGCATGAACTAAAACCCGATCATGGAGAACGAGGAAGACTGGGTGGGAAAATACAAGGTGCCATTTACGCGTGCTATTAGACACGATTAATGTTGATTGTCATTTTCGGAATGCGTTTTAGATAGGCGCTTCAAAGGAAGGAGTAGATTCCAACTCACCGCCACATTTCCACAAGTTTGAAAGGCAGTGAACATAAACATAAAGGCAACTCCTAAAATAATGATGTTGAAAAGCTTTTTGGATTCCGGGGACATTTTGGCTCTGCTCTGCCAGAGGTCAGCAGCGGCCCCGGGCGGCCCCGCGACGATCCTGGGGGAGAAAGCGAGATGGTGAGAGAAGACCGATCCTCAGGCAAGGCAGCCAACTTGTCAACTTCCAGTCTTCGGGTCAGAATCCCAGGCTCGGGGTGAGGTTAGGGCATTCCTGGGATATGATCCGAGTAGGGGAGAGACCAACACCCGGATCAGTGCCCAGGACGTGGCCGCCCGGAATTCAGGGGCCAGCGAAGGGGATTAAGGACAGGGGTAAGTGGCAGCGGCCGTGAGGCCCCGCCCGCCGGGCCTGGTGCACCGCGGGTCACGCGACAGATCAGCTGATTGCACCAGCGACGCCCGCCGGGAAACGTAGTCGCTGACGTGCCGGGGCACGCGGGCGCATGCGCACCGGACTGGCCCCGCCCCCGGGGGGAGCAGGCAAAAAGAAGCAGGGGGGGCGGGGAGCGAAGTCCTACGAAGACCAGGGCGTCTGAGGCGGCCGGGGACACGGAAAGGCACTTAATTAGGTGCATGAGTACCCCACTAACAAATGCAGGATTGAGGGTTGCGCATAACAGATTCGCCCATCTTATTAGCATAAAATGAAGGCAGGGCCCAGATGGGAAGCACCGCCTCTTCCTCTAGCCAGAGCGCCCACGCCGGCCTTTGCAGGCGGAAAGAGCGTTTCGCGGGCTTTCCAACTACCCTCAAATGCCGCTCCCCCTCCCAACAGCAGTGACTGCGCGCTTTTTGGCCCGCCCGCCGGGCTCTGCGCAGGCGCGTTAAGCCGCAGCTAGGCGCGCGGCGGCGCCGTTAAGGGGCGGGGCCAGGCGAGCCAATCAGAGGATTCATTTCCGGGTGGCGCGGGCGCCATTTTGTGAGGAGTCATATAAATACGCGCGGGGTGCCACTGCCAGTTCAGTTGCTGTCCAGGTGCTCAGCGGTGGGGTTCGTGGTTAGCACGCCTCCCTGCCCGGCCCTTCACTGGTTCCCTCGGACGGAAGGCAGCTGCCAGAGAAGAGGCGCGGCGTCGCACCGCCCGGACCTGAGGAAGCCGCCGCTTGCTCTGAACGCGCGGGCCCGCCCAGGGCGTTAAGAGTCTCGGCGCCAGTTCGCGGGGCCCCGGGCCGACTCCCAGCCATGAGCTACGGCCGCCCGCCTCCCGACGTGGAGGGCATGACCTCGCTCAAGGTGGACAACCTGACCTACCGCACCTCGCCCGACACGCTGAGGCGCGTCTTCGAGAAGTACGGGCGCGTGGGCGACGTGTACATCCCGCGGGACCGCTACACCAAGGAGTCCCGCGGCTTCGCCTTCGTGCGCTTCCACGACAAGCGCGACGCCGAGGACGCCATGGACGCCATGGACGGGGCGGTGCTGGACGGCCGCGAGCTGCGGGTGCAGATGGCGCGCTACGGCCGCCCGCCGGACTCGCACCACAGCCGCCGCGGCCCGCCGCCACGCAGGTACGGCGGCGGCGGCTACGGACGGCGGAGCCGCAGGTGAGCGCGGGCACGTGCGGCGGGCGGGCGGGCGCGGGGCCTCCTGGGCGGCGGCCGGGCCGGGTGGACCACGCGGGCCCCGCCTCGCGGCCAGGGAAATGGCGCCTGGCAGCGAGATAATGGCGGCGGCGGCGGCGGGCGGGGCCGCGCTCACCGCCCGTCCCCGTCCCGCCCGCAGCCCGCGCCGCCGCCGCCGCAGCCGATCCCGGAGTCGGAGCCGCTCCAGGTCCCGCAGCCGGTCCCGCTACAGCCGCTCCAAGTCTCGGTCCCGCACCGCTCCCGCTCGCGCTCGACCTCCAAGTCCAGATCCGCGCGGAGATCCAAGTCCAAGTCGTCGTCCGTGTCCCGGTCCCGCTCGCGCTCCAGGTCGCGCTCCCGCTCGCGGAGCCCGCCGCCCGTGTCGAAGAGGGAGTCCAAGTCGCGGTCGCGCTCCAAGAGCCCCCCGAAGTCCCCGGAGGAGGAGGGCGCGGTGTCCTCCTGAGCGCACGGTAATGCGCGGGGCGCGGGAGGCGCGCGGGCGGGTGAGCGAGGGCTGCAGGAAAGGAAGGATGTGTGCAAGCTTAGAGGATGGTGGCTGTGTCGTGGACTGTTTGAGACCTATTGATGACAATGACTATTTCTTGCTGTTTTTATCCAACGTCTGCATTTTCCCCCTTTAAAGCTGCGGTCTCCTGTTTGATAAAAGAATATTGGCCAGTATTGCAGATTTTAACTGATTTGGCTGATCCTCCAGGGACCAGTTTCTGTGGGCGTGTATTGGAGCAGGTTTGTCTTTAAACGTTAAAGATGCACTATCCTCTTAGAGAAACAATCAGTTCAACCATTGTTGGACTGACTGGGACTTCTTAACTCTAATGGATGTGGCAAACGAATTGCAATTAAAGAAGCAGTGAACTTTTGGAAACCCAAAAGAAAGCTTACAGGTATTGCACTGGGTGGGGAAAGGATAGTGTGTCTTTAACTCTCAAATTGTTTGGTCCTAATTTTTTAAAAGGAAAAGGGCCCTAACTAGACCACATTAAAAGTACTCTCAATTGCCAGATGTTTCATTTGAAAATAAATCTTAAAAATATCAACTAGTTTTAAGATTTTGTTTGGATACAGCCCCTCTCCCTCCTTTTTTTTTTTTTTTCTTTTCTCCCTCCCTTACCTTTTTTTCACCTTGCCTATTTGGCCAAGAACTCACAATTCAAACTTGTACAAGCTGATGGCAGCCTTTGAAAATTTCTTAGTTGGGCCTTTAAAAAATCTGATAATGGCTGGGTGGAACCTTACTGTAACCTACTTGTTTCACCAGAGCCTTAGTAAGTACATGCCTGAAACTGAAACCATGTGCACTTGGGTACCTTCATAGTGATGGGAGGTAAGCTGAACCTTTTTCTTTTCAAACCTAGATGGATCGTCAAGCAGCATAACAGAGGACTTGGGGAAAAAGGACCACACATACTCAGTCCATCGGTCCATGGAAGAGTCCTTGGAACAAGCAACTGGCTATTGAAAAGGTTATTTTGTAACATTTGTCTAACTTTTTACTTGTTTTACCTTTGCCTCAGGTGGCAAATTCATTTTTTGTGTGCCATTTTGTTGCTGTTATTCAAATTTCTTGTAATTTAGTGAGGTGAACGACTTCAGATTTCATTATTGGATTGGATATTTGAGGTAAAATTTCATTTTTGTTTATATAGTGCTGACTTTTTTTGTTTGAAATTAAACAGATTGGTAACCTAATTTGTGGCCTCCTGACTTAAAAAGGAAACGTGCAGCCATTACACACAGCCTAAATCTGTCAACAGATTGACTCAACATTGCCTTCATTCCTTAAAATTAAAAACCTACAAAAGTTGGTGTAAATTTGTTGATATATGTTATTTACCTTCAGATCTAAGTGGTAATCTGAACCCAAATTTGTATAAAGACTTTTCAAGTGAAAAGATTTAAAAAAAAAAAAAGGGATTGTTTACCAAACACAATTCTAATCTCTTCTCTTATGTATTTTTGTGCACTAGGCGCAGTTGTGTAGCAGTTGAGTAATGCTGGTTAGCTGTTAAGGTGGCGTGTTGCAGTGCAGAGTGCTTGGCTGTTTCCTGTTTTCTCCTGATTGCTCCTGTGTAAAGATGCCTTGTCGTGCAGAAACAAATGGCTGTCCAGTTTATTAAAATGCCTGACAACTGCACTTCCAGTCACCCGGGTCTTGCATATAAATAACGGAGCATACAGTGAGCACATCTAGCTGATGATAATACACTTTTTCCCCCCTTTTTCCCCCTCCAAAATGGTAAATCCAATCATCCTCATGTATAAATTTAAAGTATGGAAAAATGTTAAGGAAGCAAATGGTTTGTAACTTTGTACGTACTTAAAACATGGTGTATCTTTTTGCTTATGAATATTCTGTACTATAACCATTGTTTCTGTAGTTTAATTAAAATGTTTTCTTGGTGTTAGCTTTTCTAGAATATGTCTTGGTCTTTTTTGCCCTTTTATTTGAAAGACCTATGTGATTTTTGTCCAGTGTCACTGGCCATAGACATGGTATAAGGGTAAAATGTTTCAGCACCTGCCTTTTTTCCTGAACTAACAAGAAAATGGAAATGCCTGTTGAATAGGTAAACAGTGCTCGAGGCGCTGCTCTTGCAGTGGTGGACTATTACCTTCTCAACCTAATTTATGCCATTTCAGTGGCTTTAAGATCAAGGGCCGGGTACTTAACAGTGTGAGTCCTTGGGTTCAACACCTGAACAAAACAATCCAAGCCCTTACTCTTTATAAGTCTTTTAATTTTTGTTTCCTGGTTGTTGTCCATGAGTGACACAATCTTAAGGCCAGCAGGTTTGACCATCCTCATACCCACTGCATTTGTTCGGGAAGTTGAAGTGGTCTGGTCATAGTTGCTGATCAGTATTGACAGTATCCCAGGAGAGCTTATGGTTCAGAGGCTGTCCTTTGCAAAGGAGATGATCAGCATTTCAACAGTGTGTCTCCCTGGAAGGGCAGATTCTGCTATATTTTCCTTATCCGCATCAAAAGACTCCAGAGGAATGTGGACACATTTCATATCCCATTTGTAGAGCAAAGCTTCAAGTGACCAGTCAGCACTAAAAGAAATAAATTGTTTTTAAAATTTATGTCTTTCCTGTTTTCCTTGATAACTTTCATTTTACCCTTAAAAACTGTCATTAAGAGCTAGTGAAAATGAGAGTAAGCCAGGATTATTCACTTACCTTCTAACCTGGTATGTAGACCACAGTTGAACCTTGGGGTTCTTCTGCATCAAAAAGTATACTGTTGTTAAAATGTCTTCAAAGTCTGAGGAGAGAGGACTTCTTTAAATGGAATTTTCCCAAAGTATCTGGTTAAGTTTACTAGAGCAAGAGTTTACCTTCCGGCTCAAAGAACACATCAGATGCAAGAATAATGTCTTGTGGTGGTAAAGCTAGGAGATCCTGAGATATGTGGCCCCAGGTCAGTCCTACAACCTGCACCTGTGGCAGGTTGTTCATGTGGCAGCTTTGCTTACAGAGCTCTAGACAGTGGGGCAGCTCTGAGTTGTCAGACAGTATTACTTTAGCACCACATTTCGCAGCCAGGACTCCTGGAAGGCTCACTCCAGCTCCAATCTAGTAATGATAGAAAACGGCATTTTAAAATTTGGAATGGCAAGCATGGTTCACATTTACCCTTTGGGAAACCCTTTACCTATAAAAAGTTTAGGCCTAAGAGTTTGTCTTGCAGAAGATCACTATTTGTCATCCCTTTAATGGTTGACTCAAAGGTAAAAGGTTATAGTGGTTATATTCCTTCAATATTAAAAGGACATTGTTTTCATATTCAGTAACACTTTAGGGAGCTTCACTGCAATGCACAGGGGAGGAATTTTGAGACACACAAAGCAGCTTCACATTCCCTAAGATAGCACACTGGTGATCTATATTTGTGGCCAGCTGTCACTACCAGTATTAATTACTGTTCTGTAGCTAAAATAAGTATGTAACAGCTTCTATTAAAAGGGATTTTTCTTGGGGGGAGGGTTGTTTCTTAAGACAGGGTCTTAGTATATAGCTAGGCTGGACTCAACTCTCCATTTTACCTCTGCCTACAGAGTGCAAGGATTACAAGCATTTATTACCATGCATGGTTTAAGGGAGATTTTCTAGCAGGGCCTAGAAAATAGGAAGGTGCTTTGTAAACATGCTAAGGAATAGGCTTGGCAGTATAGACTTGAAACAACTTCCTACCAGTTTGAGCACGGGCATAGAGATTGCCCAAGCATAGTATGAAAGTTGTAATTTCTACAGATTTGCTAAAATGTTAGCCAGATGTGGCCCATACATGAGGCAAAGCAGAAGGACTGCTAATTTGACGCCACCGTAGGCTACAGAACAAGGAGAACCTGTCTCAAACTTAATTCTAAGCCTCAGTAGTCTAAATCCAGGCAGAGTGATGAGAAAGTTAAATTTAATCTCACTGGGCACTGGTGGCTCATGCCTGTAATCCAAGCTACTCAGGCGGCAGAGATCAGGAGGATTGTGGTTCAAAGCCAGATCTGGGGAAATAGTTCACAAAATCCTATCTCAAAAAACCCATCACAAAAAAGGCTAGTAGAATGGCTGAAGCAGTAGAGCGCCTGCCTAGCAAGCATGAGGCCCTAAATTCAAACCCCAGTACCACCAAAAAAATTTTTAAAAGCTAATCTCAACACTTCCAAAATATGGGAAGGGCTATGCTTATGGTCAGTGTTCCCATCCACCCAAAATTGCTTAAGTTGAAAACCTAAATGTCAATGTGATGTGGGGCCTCTGGGAGATGAGCAGACCTTGATGCTGCTTTCAGCAAGTGAGCACACAGGAGATGCCATCGATGATCCAGAATTTGGGCCCTCGACAGCTACCAAATTACTGGTGCCTTGCTCTTGGACTTTCCAGCACCCCGAACTCAGAAAGTTGTTAAGCTCTCCAACATTTTTTTTTTTTTCTGGTACTGGGGTTTGAACTCATAACCACTCCACCACCCCTTTTTGTGATGGTTTTTTCCTAAGCGTGTGCCACTGGTGCCTGGCTCCAACTTATTTTTTACAGCAGCCAAAATATGAAAAACACTTCAAGTGTTCCAGTAGAGCCTGGATGACCCTGGCAAGCCATCCTAAACACAGCCATGAAGACTGCTGCCAGCCAGGTGTGGTGGCTCACACCTGTAATCTCAGCACTCAGGAAGCTAAGGCAGGACGACAGCAAGTTCCAGTCCATCCTGGGCTACATAGCTAGATCTGTCACTCTATTTTTGGGGGAAGGGTGAACACTGCTGCCAGTGCCAAGAAATTTAGTAGACTTCACCTACAGTAAGGGCCAATTAGTAAATCCTTTAGGCTTTGTGAGCCACTTACAGTCTCACATATTTTTTAAAACAACTTTAAAAAAACAAAGACAAGGAGGGGGGGAGCAGTGACCCAAACAATGTAGCACATGTGAATAAACGAATATAAATAAACAAAACAAAACGTAAAGATATTTCCTGAACTCAGACTTTTCAAGCTGGCCAGAACATCCCTGACTTTAAAATACTTAACAAAGGCTAATAACATGTAGACAAATCTTAACATAACCCAAATTTTGGAAACCTTGGGGGCCTGTGTACCTCTAAGACAGCCTTGCCTGGCAGAGATCTTCTGTGACACCATAGGTACTGGGCCAAGACCACAGCACAGGGCCAAACATACATTCCATATTGAACATGCAGGACCTGAAAAGAATGTTTGCAAATAACTTTGCTGCTATAAATTGTAGTATTAATATTTATACAGTAATTACTGTCAGGCACTGACATCCATTACAAAAATGACAATCCAGTTTACAACTTGTAGGGATATAAAACCACCATGCCATATGATAAACATTCTTCACAGCACTCAATCAGTTCCACAAGTCTTTTGGGGTTTTGTTTTTTAATTTTTGGTAGAACTGGGGTTTTAACTCAGGGCTTGGATCTTGCAAAGCAGACACTCTACCACTTGAAGCACACCTCCCATCCACCCATCCATTTTGCTCTGGTTATTTTGGATCTCTCTCTTTTTTGTTTTTTGGCAGCATGGGGTTTGAACTCAGGGCTTCAGGCTTGCTAGGCAGGTGCTCTTCTTGAGCCACTCCACCTCTGGTTATTTTGGAGATAAAGGTCTCTCACACTATTTGTCTAAGCTGGCCTTGAACCTTGATCCTTCCTATCTCAACCTCCCAAGAAGCTAGGATTACAGGTGAGCCACTGGCACCTGGCTTTGTGGGTTGTTTTTTTTTTTAATTTGTTTGGGTTTTTTTGGAGACAATCTCACTACGTAGCCCAAGCTGGCCTTGAATTCATGAACCTCCTGCCTTAGCCTCCAGAGTGCTGGGATTTCAGGCTTGTGTCACCATGCTTCCACAAGCATTTAAAACAATGCCAGATGATCAGGAAACATTCTGACTGGGGATGTAGCTCTCATGGACTGTGTACCTTCTACTGGAGAAAGACAACAGCAATTTACATAGTTTTGGTTAGTGTCAAATGCTACAAGACAGTAAAGCAAGGTGTTGTGAGATAGTAATGGGATGGGGGCAGGCAAGAGTGACCACAAGGTGGCTGCTGTGGATAGGCAGAGGATGACTCAGACAAAACCCTTGATGTAGGAACTGAAAGGCCTCATGGCTGCCAAACAGCCCCTGGCAGGACAGGCATGGGAGCTACAGGCATGTTACACCCTGCAAATAAGGTCAGAGGTAAAGTTGGGATCTGAGCTGTGAGTCAGCTACAGTTTAGAATTTATTCTAAGTGCAACAAGAAGATACTGGAAGGTTTTAAGCACAAGTGTAACTTCCTATGCTAATGCATATCAAGAAAGGCATCCTAGAAGATGTACTGTGGAGCTGAATCCTGGATTGGAAAGAAGGCAGCACCGAGAGCCTTTGGAAAGGACTAGAATCATGAGAGCCCAATATTTAGGGAGGCAAAGAACCAGTTTACACCACTGGAGCAAGCCAATCTGTGTTCAACTCTAGATCTGTGTGACCTCATACAAGCTGCCTAAACTGTAAATACTTTTTCCTCAGCTGAAAAGCACTGTCTCAGAAGGTAATAAGGAATACTCAACGCAAGTCACAAAGCACTCAATGCTAGCAATACAGCTGCAAGTCTTTCAGTCATCTGGTGGAGTGGTAGAAAGAGGCTAAAGATGTAAAACTGTCAAAGGTGAAAGAACCGGAGATACAAGCTTTATCATGAGTGATCCACTCAAAAACAAATACTCCCTAAAACATTCAAGGTACTAGGTATAGGGGTACACCACCAATAAGGGCCTGACCTGGTGGATTTTGCCCAGGAGGACACTAAAGGCCCAATGAATGATGTCTGACCAGAATAGAGATGCGCCTCTATTCACAGGGAATATCTTCATCCCCTAAGCTTAAGCAAAATCAAGAGTTACTTTCAGGGCTGGAGGTGTGCTTCAAGCAATAGAGCATCGGCTTAGCAAGCGCAAAGCCCCTGAATTCAAACCCCAGTATTGTCAAAAAAAAAAAATATTTTAACGTGAAGGCGTTTGGAAAGTACTGGAAATGGGTTCTATTCTAGCCTTTTTTACTTCTTTCAAACTGTTTCTTCCTCTCTGACGTGGGATTACTAACTCACCGGCTGCTGTTAACATCAAATAAACGCCGCAAACTGACAGTGCAATGAAAACCCTAATAAGGTTCAACTATTATTAATGGTGCAGCTGTGAGTTCAGAGGAAGCTGAACGCAAGAAACCTCCAGCACTGAGTTGGAATTCCTGGTCCCAAAATTTACACCAAATTGCTAGTCGGGACTGGGATGCAGCTCAATGGTACAGCTCTTGCCTAGCACGCAACCCTGGGTTCCATCCCCAGCACCGAAAGAGGCTGAGAGCCAAGGATGAATCAATAAAGCCCTTCAACAAGTTCAAAGTTAACGAGGGGTCAAGAACGCCACTTTCCTGGTAGGACACACTCCTTCCTAGCACGCTCCCCAAATGTCAATCTGCCAAAACTTTTGTATTGGGGCCAACCTAAAAGCGGGAGGTCGCGGAGCTGAGGGTCCCCGGTCCCCATCACTTCCTCAACCAGGTCTGCCGAGGCCCGCTTCGGCCTGGGCGCCTCCACGCGGCGGGACCGCGCGCTTCGCCGCGGGTGCCGCTCACGCACCTGCGGGACGCGGACCTCCAGCACGGTCTCCTCGGCTCCCGGGCCCGGCTCCCCCGAGAACCGAAAGCGCTGGGCGGGGGCCACATGCCCTTGGAGACCGCGCTCGTCCCGAGGGTCGTCGGTGGGCGTCGGAGGACGCGGGGCTGCCAGGATGCGCGCGCGGGCTCGCCGGACCGTCGGGGGCCGCCTCCCGGGCGCCACGTAGCCTTCAGCCACCTCGCCCAGGCTACTACCACCCGACCGCAAAAAGGGGACGGCCCGGTCCCGCAACTTTGCGTTGCGGCCGCGAAACGAGCACAGCACACCCGCGGCTGACCAAACGACACAGACACACAGCGTGGGAGTCAACTGGAGCTCGACCGGAAGCGCGCAGCAGCGAGGCGACGTGCGGCCGGAAGTGGTGCGCACGCCGCCGGGGCGAGGAGGAGCAAGGCGGCGACGCAGCGCTGCCAGGCCGACGTGACCTTCCCAACATGGCGCCCGCCCAGCGCGTATGAGGGCGGATCCAGGAGTCGCCGCAGCCAATGGCGGGCCGCAGGCGGTGGCGGGGCGGGGAGGACAGCCGCCTTTCACCCAACCCGAAGCTCGGGAGGTGGCTGGGGAGTGAATTTTCTGGAAGGCGACTTTAAAGGCGCCGGGCCGGAGCGAAGGGCGTTTCGGTGTCGCCGCCGCCCGTGCTGGGGAGGCCGCGTTAGTGGCAGGAAGCGAGCTGAGCCGAGGTCGCGGAACAAGCCTGTGACACCCACCCCTCGCAGGATGAACCACAAGAGTAAGAAACGCATCCGCGAGGCCAAGCGCAGTGCGCGGCCAGAGCTCAAGGACTCGCTGGACTGGACCCGGCACAACTACTACGAGAGCTTCCCGCTGAGCCCGGCGGCCGTGGCGGTGAGCGGGGCGGGGGGTCGCGGGCCGGTCGGCACCTGCAGCACCCCGAGCTCGGGGCATCGCCGAGTTCCGAGTCCACGAGTCCCGACGCCAAGCGGGGCCCCCTCCTTCCGCACTGCGGCCTCTCGCTTTCCTCCCTCCCCCAGCAGGAGCGTAGGGGGGTCCCCAGGCTCCTTGGGGACAAAGGGGCTCTGGGGGGGGTGGGACTATCAAAGCTCCCGAGTGGGAGGGATGAACCCCACCTCCCTCCTCGAGGGGTGACTCTGGGCACTACGTGCTCACGCGCACGTGGGCCCCCCCCACCCCCAGGAAGAACCAGATTGTAGTTCATTGCTAACCCCTGTCCCTATTAATTGACCCTGGGGGACACCTTTATCTGCCACCGGGCTGCTTCCTCTTTTTTGAGGGGGTTTGAACTCAGGGCTTCACTCTTGCTAGGCAGGCGCTCTACACCTTGAGCTACTCCACCAGCCCTTTTTTTTTCCCCCTCGATGGTTTTTTTTCAAGATGGGGTGTCGAGAACTATTTCCTCAGGCTGGCTTCGAACCGCCATCCTCCTGATCAGCTAGGATTACAGGCGTGAGCCACCGGCGCCCAGCTTCTTCCCTTTCTTTAACTGGAGAGGTCTTTTGTCATTCCCTCAGGATAACGTGGAAAGGGCCGATGCTTTACAGTTGTCGGTGGAGGAATTCGTGGAGCGGTATGAAAGACCTTACAAGCCCGTGGTTCTGCTGAATGCCCAGGAGGGCTGGTCTGCGCAGGAGAAATGGACTTTGGAACGCCTGAAAAGAAAATACCGGAACCAAAAGTTCAAGTGTGGTGAAGATAACGATGGCTACTCGGTGAAGATGAAAATGAAGTACTACATCGAGTACATGGAGAGCACGCGGGACGACAGCCCCCTTTACATCTTTGACAGCAGCTATGGTGAGCACCCCAAAAGAAGGAAACTACTGGAGGACTACAAGGTGCCCAAGTTCTTCACTGATGACCTTTTCCAGTACGCAGGGGAGAAGCGCAGGCCCCCTTACAGGTAAAGAGTGCCACAGCAAAGTGGTTAATCCCATCCACCACAGCGTTTACTGGCAGAGATCAATCCAGAACAGCCGTTGGAACTCCATTCGGCTTCAGTCTGGTTCAACAGTGATTTAATTGGTCTCAATAAAGTCCAGCGATAAATCACATGGGTGATTTTTCTTTCTTCAGTTAGGGATCAGCCCATTCAAGTGTTCAAATTCTGTGTACCAGAATTTGTGTCCTGTCTGGAACAAACATTATATAGTATGTAATACATATGTAAATATTGTGTGTGTGTGTGTTGTAAGAATTATATGTAATGTATATAAAACTTACCAAGTTGTGTTTTCTTGTGTCATGCTTGTGTAATTAAATTACCCTTCACATCTTGGGTGTTTTCGTCCTGTAGGTGGTTTGTGATGGGGCCACCACGTTCTGGAACCGGGATTCACATTGACCCTCTGGGAACCAGTGCCTGGAATGCCTTAGTTCAGGGCCACAAGCGCTGGTGCCTGTTTCCAACGAGCACTCCCCGAGAACTCATCAAGGTAACCCGAGAAGAAGGAGGGAACCAGCAAGATGAAGCAATTACCTGGTTTAATGTTATTTATCCCCGGACCCAGCTTCCAACCTGGCCACCTGAATTCAAACCCCTGGAAATCTTACAGAAACCAGGAGAGACTGTCTTTGTACCAGGTACACATGGGCCTTAAGAAGATACATGGTCCCCCACCTTCCTCCAGTCCAGTCCAGGGTTTTGGGCAGCTAGGCAAGCTCTCTACCATTGAGCCACACCCCAACCCTAAGTACATTCTTTGATTACAGTAATTTGTGTTGTCATTTGGGGTAAAATTACATATAGCCTTTTTGCACCTGCTTGAAGGGACTGCAGGTAGATGAATCTCAAGGTGTGTGTGGGGAGGGCTCTTCCCCACATTTCAGGTCACTGTAGCCCTAGTAGTCACCTAAAACTTTTGAGTAGTGTAGCTACTGTAAGTAGGGCTTTTGATACAGTGTATCTCTGGCTGGGTAGAGTCAGGAAATCCTTATGTCAGACACTTTGATAGGTGAAAGTTAAGATGGGTGTCCTGGAAGCTGAAAAACTGCCTTTACAGTAGTTTTTGGTCACAGCTTTGGATTATCTGGATTCAGCAGTTTTTTGTATTTTTTTTCTGAAAAGGGCCACAAATTAAATATTTTAAGCACTTTCAACCAGATGGTCTCTGTCACAATTGCTCAATTCTTGCCTTTTAGTAGGAAAAAAGTTTGAAAAGGGATGGATGTGAATCTGCTCCAATAAAACTTTATTTACACAAACAGGTCATTTGCAATTCCTGGGTCAGAGCAATGTTTACTGCCTGTGTTATTTGAGCAGTCCCTTAGGGTGTCACATAGAATGTGAATAAGAGCAGACCCTGTGGAATTCTGTTTATTTTTTGGCTTTCAGGAGGCTGGTGGCATGTGGTCCTCAATCTTGACACCACCATTGCCATCACCCAGAATTTTGCCAGCAGCACCAACTTCCCTGTTGTGTGGCACAAGACGGTAAGAGGGAGACCAAAGTTATCAAGGAAGTGGTATAGGTGAGAGACATTATTTTTCTTGTTTTGTTCCAATTCCTCCCCCAGGGATGAAATGGAAAGAGTCCACCGACGTGATCCTATGTGCTGATTGTAGAGAGGCCTGGGAAAAGCCAGGCTTGTAAATGCAGGGGTAACAGACATGGCCCAAGGTCAGAGCTAGCTGTCAGGATGTTTGCAGCTTGCAGGTGGCAGGCTGAGGCTCTGCATGTTTGATCAAGGACCCTTGGTCAGAACGTGGTCGGAATTGGGATTGTTCTCTTTTTAGTTCCTTTTCCCTTTCCTTTTTTTTTTTTTTTTTTTTCTTTTTGTTTTGTTTATTTTTCAAAGCTACCACTAGCTTTGAGTAGGTTTTATTTGGTTATTTCTTTTTCTTACCCAGAAGCATTATTTCCATTTGAACTTGCTACCATCAGCTCTTGTGAGTGAGGTGACTGCCCTGGAGACTTAGCTCCTCTGTTTATCCACAGAACAGATACAGCACGGGCAGCGGCAGTGCAAGCCACCCCCAGCCACCCCGTGCCACTGTGTCCCAACCCTGACCTGGAGGGACCAGCTCTCGGGGTAAGAGAGGGATTCTGGCTCGATCAGTGCTCCACCTCCCTGCTGAGAGGGCCAGCAAGGGTGGTGGCTTCTGTTCCCCCAGCCTCTTGGGCACCTGAGGCCCACTTATCTGCCCCCTAGGCCACTGTATGCCGCAGTGCGGTCACTCCAAGACCTCAGCACCCAGCTGTTCCTTTGCCACTGGTTACAGTGGTTGCAGGTTAGGCTCCTGCTGGGGAGGGCTGTTGCTCTTAGTCAGTGCAGCTCATCTTCCAAGTGAGGGGGGTGGTCTCTCTTGTTTGACATCTAATTATTTCTGCTCTTAACAAATAGAATCTAACCAAACACAACTCCCTTGTTTAGCCCTGCTGTGGAAAGGAAAGGTTTAAAAAAAAAAAATCAGCCAGTAAAGGTTCAGGGAACAAACTTAGGAAAAGGAAGGATTTTCCTAAGGGAAGAAAATCAAGAATAGCTCAAAGGAATGTTGCCTTCCATAGCAGCAGTGTGGCTGGCTCACTTGTGCAGGCGGTGGCAAATGTGCATAGCTAGGGTGTAGTTTTCCTTCAAAAAATTAGGGGCAGCCTGGGAGAGCTGTTCCAGCGTGGGGCATGTCTCCTCCCATCGTATGAGAGTCATTCTGGTTTGCTATAATAGGTGTTTGTAGGTGTTCAGAAGTGATGCAGGCTCCATGTTGAGTCTGAGTAGCCGTGTGAAGGTATTGTCACCTGCCATGATACTGAGAATGACGTATCTTGCCCCTTAGGATCTTGAAGCAGGAACACCCTGAACTGGCAGTCCTAGCAGATGCAGTTGACCTCCAGGAGTCCACAGGAATTGCCTCCGACAGCTCCAGTGATTCCTCCAGCTCCTCCAGCTCCAGCTCTTCTGACTCGGATTCAGAGGTGAGGCTCTGCCTAACTGCTCAGGGACTCGGGCTCATGGCACCCCATCCAGACCCTTCCAGGAGGGAGAGGAAGTGAAGGCTTTTTATCTTTTTCCAAGGGCTGAAGGTGCCACCGTTCCTGCCAAGGGGGGAGCTGTACCCATCTTGCAGCTTTGTGCATGGGCGAATTACTAAACACTGCAGAGGTGTCAGAGTGTGTGGAGGGTTGTGAAGTAAATGGCCCAAGACCACACAGCTAGTTGAACAGCAATGTCAGGATTAAGACCCTCATGGGTCTGGCCTCAAAGCCTGTGAGGAATTTTCCTGTGGGTGGAAGTGTAAACCTTCACACTTAGCTTTAGCTAACAGCAGTTGGGTGAGAGGGTCCTGCGCCCTTAGCAGTTGAAGTTCTGGCTCTTAAAGTCAGTCTGCTTCTGCTTGTTGGGGCAGAATTAAGACTTGGCACTGTTCCTGTCTGTTTTTACACATGGACCCAGTGGCCGAGGAGGTCCATGAGTAGACTGTTGGGACCTGTCCTCAATGACTACTTCTGGAAAACAGGGATCAAGATCACTGCTGTCTCCTGAGGACAAAGGTTTGTTTCTCGATGAAGTAGGTTGCGCCCAGGTTGAATTTTCACATTTTTCCTCCTGTGTCCAGTGTGAGTCTGGGTCTGAAGGCGACGGGACAGCACACCGCAGGAAGAAGAGGAGAACGTGCAGCATGGTGGGGAACGGGGACACCACCTCACAGGATGACTGCGTGAGCAAAGAGCGCAGTTCCTCCAGGTGACCATGCACGGTGCCGTCCATGTGCAAGGATGTGCTCGTGGCGAGGGGCAGGGCCCAGGGAGGGCAGCCCATTGGATTCTGCAGACCAGGGAGGGCTGCCGCACACCAGAGAACAAGGACACACTTGGAACGGGAGTCCGTTCACACAGCATCTGCTACGGTGGCTTTTTCTCTGATCGTGGCTTGTTTTATCACAAAGGCAAGGGTGTGTGGGCAGTGCCAAGGAAATACTTTACCTATTTAATAAAAACGGTCTATTTTACACCTTGCACAGTTTTCTTTGGGGAGCACAGACCTTCCCTGGTGCTCCTCTCCCATTGTCCTGGGAAAGCAGAGGCTCCACTATAACTTCTTTTTTTTTTTTTTTTTTTAAGATAAAGGGTCTCATTTTGTAGCTCAGGCTGGCCTTGGAGTTGCTATCTTCCCGCCTCAGCCTCCCAAGTGCTAGAATTACAGGCATGAACCACCACACTCTTTTTTATGACCTCTTAATCACATCTCCAAATTTTTCTTTTGTAAAGAAGCAAGATTGGATCTAAATAAATTAAAACTTCAGAACCAAAAAGAGAATGTATTTGCCAGCACCTGCCCCTGGGCACAGTGTGTAGTAGACCCATAGTGAAGGGTTTTCTCTGCACTGTTGAGGAGGACACGGTCTTTAAATTCCAGAGGTCCCTTTCCAGTGTACTGGTTGAGGTATTAAGAGGTGAGGCTGGAGTTTGTAGGACTATTGGTGTCTGAAGTCCCTGACTGCTACAGGTGATGTTCCTATTAATGGACAATGGGCTTTTTTTTTTTTTTTTTTTTTTTTTTTGTAGTCCTGGGGCTTAAACTCAGAGCTTGCACCTTGAGCCACTCTACCAGCCCTTTTTTTGTGGTGGGTTTTTTTGAGATAGGGTCTCAAGCTATTTTCCTGGGCTGGCTTTGAACCACAGTCCTTCTGAATTTTGCCTTTTGAGTAGCTAGGATTGCAGGGGTGAACCACCGACACCAGGCTGGACTATTATCTTAAATGCCTAAGAAGAGTCCAAGGCCCACTTTCTTTCATTTGTCCTGGTCTGACTCTAATTCCATAGGAAGTTGGGGGTCTTATTCAAGTGAATTTATGGGGCTAATAAGTGCTTTTCTCAGCCCTGCCTGTCCTTCCCCTAGCCATACTCAGATGTCTCCTCTTGCCTTGTGAGGTGTTCATAAACTTACATCTGTGCTTTGAGAAAGGGCTGCATTACTTCCACCAGGATTTGAGGGAAGGGGGGGTCTATCTGTAATATTGCCATCCAGCTTCATGCCAGCTGTGCTATCTACATGCTGATTACAGGCAGTTGTGCTTTCCTTGGCAGGATTAGGGACACTTGTGGAGGCCGGGCTCATCCCTGAGCAAATAAACAGACTCCCTGAGGTGGCTCCTGTGTAAGCTGTTGCGGCCACCTGACTCAGTCTCACGTCCTCTGCTCCTACCTTCTCCTCTGTCTTCTTTGAATGTGGATCTCCATTCTCTGGTCCAAGCTCCTGTCCTCGGTCAAATTCTGGTCTTAATGCTTATTAAGACTAGATTCTCATCAAGTGTAAAGCTCAGCCAGCGCAGTGAAACACTGACACTAAAGTGATGTTGGGTAAGAAGGTGTGCTGTTGTGTTTGTAACTGTGCTGGTCAACCACAAGGCTGGAGGGGTGTGATCCAATCAGCATTTCGCTGTGTCTGCCGCCTCACTGCTTTTGGTAAGGAACAGCTGGCTGTATCCAAGCAGAGACATGAGAGTGGTGAGTGGCTTTGATTTGTGTGTGAACCAGTCATGTAAGAAGTACTGCAAGTGTGTGCTGCCTTCCTGGACATCACCATCAGTTCAAAGCTACATTCAGGGGTGGGGACCCAGCCATGTGCCCAGCACCATTAATTACTGCTCAGTCCTGTCTTAGGATTCCTTTTCTTCCTCCACAGTCAGAGTGCCTATGAAATTTTAGGGGTGTTTTTGTATCTTATATTTCAGGGGCCAGTGGGTACCACATTGGAGTCTTTTTGTTTGCATAGAATGGGAAAGGTAGAGCTGGGGGTATGGCTCAAGTGGTAGAACACTTGCCCTGAGTTCAAACCCCAGTTCCACCAAAAACAAAAAAAGAGTAGGAATGGCATTCATTGTATTTTTAGCTCAGAACTTGAGTCATAAGTAGGCCATTTGGATCTGCAGATACTTCTGAACAGCTCTGGTGGGATATTTGGGGAATGACCAACAGGTTTCCTCTCTTACCCTCTAAATTCACCTACTTGCCTTAATCTGTCACTAAATTTAAATAAATAGAGGAAAGGGGGGGTTGTCAGGGCCTTATCCCATGTCAAACTCAACTGTGGTCCTGGGAGTGGGGAGCATCTGCAGATGGGTTGAAACTGCACAGTGCTGCTTCTCAACATCCCTAACACTGGAATGACTGGGGCCTCCAGGCCTCTGCCAGTGTTAACTTTCTAGCAGATGGGTCATTGTTTCCTGGCACTGCATCGAGTGGCCTTAGTTTAGGAGGCTGGTCAATTTTCTCTTAGTTCAGGTTTCTACAGCCCGAAACTGCAGCCCGCTGTAGGAGGCTAAAGGAAGAATCTCCCTTTCAGAGTCAGAGCCCCGGCTTCTAGAAAGAACTGCCCACCAAGGGCTTCCAGCCGATTGTTGCCCCCTACTCCCTCCAACAGCTCCCTCTGGTCCTCTGGTGATCCAGACTCTGTTCAAGTGTGGTCAAGTGCGGTTCAAGTGTGAGGCAAACCCTGAATGTGAAATCTCTGTAGTGATACCTGAATGCTGTTCCTCCTCCTGCTTTTTAAAAAATTCTCTTGCCATCTTCAGAAAGCATTTTTCTTTTCCCCAGTATTGCTGCTGGGCTGTTCCATTGCCCTTCACCAACTGCTCCTCTAAACTTCAGTTTAAAATAAGAAACAAGCAGGATGCACTGGTTACATGCCTGTAGTCTCAGCTCCTCGGGAGCCTGAGGTGTGAGGATCACTTGAGCTCAGGAGTTTGACCAGCCTGGGCTACACAGCAAGACCCTGGCTCAAAAAAATGATTTCTTTTTCTTTTTTTTTAAGTAACCATAAAATGGAGCTCTTTGCCACCAGGGGGCAGGATGGGTCAGGATGCCAATGGCCTGGGTGGTGGAGCAGGAATTTGAAATTGAACAATCATCTACCCAGCTCTCTTCCCCCAGATGCCAGAGCTGTTGTCTGGCACCAAGAATGAGGGGCCCATCTGACCACCACAGTCATCACTCCTCAAAGTGTCTGGATGGTACAGATTCTGTGCTGCTGTTAGGCTTTTGCTGCCCTATAAATAACTGTGGGGTGTGCTTTATTCCAGCTAGGCCAGGGACTCACCACCCTCCCCACACACACACTCCACCCCACTTCTCCCCCTTCCATCCCAATGGACAAACCAAGCATTCCATTAAGGAAACAGCAAAGACAAGGTTGGGCACTGGGTGCAACAAAGGAGTAGTGGCTCAGGTGATAAGGACAAGGTAGGAAGTGGAGCCAAAGGTGCTAACCCATCTTCCCTCCTACCTGGCATGAGCGCCTCTGAATGGTATCAGCAGTAGGAAGTGAAGGATGAAGCATTAGACTGTTTCCTGGGATTAGTCTCCAAGAATATGTGATCTTGGAACTGGATCCTGGGAAAAGGATCTTAGACTGATGGGGAGAGGCAGGGTTAGAGTCTTTGGGAATGCGTGCAGCTCACCATCAGCCCGGAGAGACTGTGCTGACTGCAAGGTGCCAGTGCACTTGTTAGAGGTCCTGGGATGTTTAGGGACACCTGAGGGAGAGCCACAAAACAGCTGCACGGGCATTACCCACATTTTTCTCTATTCCTGGAGCTACTGGCTTCTTAATACTCCAGTACTCAGAGTTCCAGTGCCAGCGTGCTCAGGTGCTGCAGGTGCAGCATGGAGTAGCCCAGTTCCCTGATCTCAGGGAGCTTGGTGAACAGTGACTGTGACTGGTCCCACCCGAAAAGCAAGTGCAGTCCTGGCCAAATGCAGGTTTATTAGCTCTTCAGGAGGAACATAAGGAACATACAGCGGTGGACTTAAATTAGCACGTGGCATCTTTGTAGAGTACGTACACTAAAGGTGTCAGGAAGTGACTGGTGCCAGTGCTTTCTAAACTGGAGCAGGCGAATGCAGTGTGTCGTCTAGGTGTCTTCTAGGAGGTAGGCCTCTAAGGACACAGTAGGTTCTTTAGATTGTAGCATTCCCACAGAGAAGTTTTGATGTGTGTGCTGGTACTGTTGATGGTTTCTGGTAGAGGGTGACTTCTTCCTCTGCCCCCACCCCCTTACTTTTGTTAAGATGTTACATTAATGTTACATTGTTTTCAGCAAGACTTGGTGAAAGTGGGCCCCCAGGTGGTAGCTCTCAACTTGTCTCATTGTTTAAAAACTTGAATGTGCAGCCCCAGGACTCTCCCTATTGGATCCACCGGCCTGCTGTTTCCGTGGTGATTGGATGCCACAGAAGAACTGGCTGCCCCTGAGCACTCAGGCCTCCTGTAGTTGTCACTCAGGCAGGTTCTGCCTGCCCCCACTGTGGGGTCTACCATGAAATGCCTCTGGGTCTGCCTTTGGATTGGCATTTTTAACTTTTATGTGGATAAAACTTGTTTACCATTTTAAATAAAGCAACTGAATTTGGAGTTATGTTTTTGGTTGTTTTGTCCTTGTTCCTTTTTATTCTTACTCATTTGAAAGTCAGGAGAGTATTTGTCAGCAGAACAAGACCTCTTAAAAATATACTTTAAACATGGGAACAGGGACAAAAATATGGCCCAAACCCTTTGCCAAAGTCCCACAAGAATCAAAAAGTCACTGGCTTAGAAACAAATCCATTCTGCACTGTAGCGTGGCGGGCCTTTTTCCTCAGCTACCACCACAGGAAACCTGTGCCCCTTAAACTGGTGCTCTAGGGTCAAGCTCTCAACATTGCTGGGGATCCTGTCACAAGGAACTCACAGGAAGCCAAGAGGGCACTTCTTTAAGAGAAGCACTTCCTCTGGCTGAGCCTACCTTTTTGTGATAGGTTTTTTTGAGATAGGGTCTTGCAAACTATTTCCCCGGCTGGCTTTGAACCATGATCCTCCTGATCTCTGCCTCCTGAGTAGCTAGGATTACAGGTGTGAGCCACTGGCTCAGCCCCCAATGTTTATTTAAAATAACTAAAGAGCGGGGGGGTGGGGGTGGTAGGGAAATATGTCTTTGGTTGCAGCAAGTTTATCCCTTAACACCCTGTCCCAGCAACAAGCCCTCAAAGTGATATGGGACTGAATTGTTGTTCCCTGAGTTTGTGTCCTGATATAGTCCATGATTGAAGGCAATGGACAAACAGTGAAGAGTTAAAGCAAGTTTACACCAAAGACCAAGGGTTAAGAGTAGATAGAGCAAACAAACAAAGTTTACTGAAAGGACAACAAAGCACCCTGATTTGTGGGACTTAGTGAAAGAACTAAGTCAAAGGATGGCTGAAGTGCATGAGATTAAATAGGGGGTCTGACTTTAGGCACCTTCACCCACTCTCCTTTGAAGCTGTAGCTATAATTGGCTGTTTGATTAACTTTTTGCTGAACCTGACTGTCTGGCTGCCCCCTATCCTTATCAGGACAGGAGATTCTAAGAGGGTCTCTTTTCTTCATCCTGTCCTTGAAACATCACCTACATTTTATGACTACTGCCCATTATTCTAGTGAGACCCCTGTCTCTGTTTATCTTGGGAAAGTTTGCTGTGTTACTCTCCTTTTAGGTGCTATATCTCATCCCTTTAGATGTCTGCCTTTAGGAAGGTTTTATCTTGTTTTCCTTATCTATATAGAGAAACTGTGCCCTGCACCTGTGTACAAAGCTGGCTTCTCAGTCTGCCTAAATGTTTTGTTTTTAAGTACGCCTTTCTGTCTCCTTTATCTAAAACAAAGTTACTTCTGCCATCCTCCCTTTACATCCCCAGGGTTGCCATTTGTTCCTAGGGACATTGCTGCCATTTTATTTCCCCCACACTTGTCCGCTTACAAAAGGATCTGGAGAACCCAAAACAGTAGCCTGCCATTCCCTCATTCTGCCCCCTTCCCCCTGCATACATTCCAAATGTAGACAAAGGGGAAAAGCCAGTAGGGAAATAGTGTTGACTCCAGAGGACTAGGTGCTGAATTCCAGAAGCAGGTTTCAGGGCAGCAGCCATTCACTGTGAGACCTGTGTTGAAGGCTGCTGGCTTCATCACTGGCCTGGGTCCGAGGTGCCCTCCATGAAAATGCATTGAGGCAATGGTGAGGGATGAAAGCGGCTAGAAACGTGGCCGCAGCTGACAATAATCTGCCTTCCCCATAGGTGTTCGTATTTTTTGGAGCAGCCAGTGCTGCCATTTCCACGAACCTCCTTGGACATGTCTTGGGGCCTTCCCCAGCTGGCACCTATATTTCCAAAGTGCTCCGACATGAACTTCTGTACACAGGGCTGAAATGTGCTGGAGGTGACAATCTAAGGACACCTTGAGCAATGAGCATTTCACACCGAAGCGTCAGGCCAGACCGGGCTAGCCAGGGATCGGTCCCTCTCCTGAACTTCCCAAGGTCCGGGCTTTTGTCCCGTTAGCATTTAAGTCACCGCAGAGGCCAGGGAGTCGGGGCGGGGAGGGGCGGGAGGGGGCGGGGCGCGGGTGTGGCCTCCGCCCCGGGGGCGGGGCGGGTCGGGGTCCCGGCGGGCGGGCACTCGGCGGCCACGGCGCGATGGAGGCGCCGGCCGAGCTGCTGGCTGCGCTACCCGCGCTGGTCACCGTGCTAGCGCTGCTGCTGGCCTGGCTGCTGGTGCGGCGCGGGGCGGCCGCGAGCCCGGGGCCCCCGGAGCCTGCGCCCCGGGCCGAGGCCAGCGGGACCCCCGCGCCGCTCAACCCCTGCGCCACGGAGTCAGCGGTCGCGTCCGAGGGCCCGGAGGAGCCCGCTGGACCCGGGGAGCCCGAGGTGGCGCCGGCCGAGGCGGAGGAGCAGGCGGCGGAGGCGAGGCAGGTACGCACACGCGCCCCTCCCCAACCGGGGGCGCCCTGGCCTCTTGGTGGCTTCGCAGGCCCTGTCGTCCCCCCACCCCCACCCCCGCAGACCCAAGGAAACGGAGCCCCAGGAAGAGCAGAGGCCAAGGCCGGCCGGAAACGAGGGTCCGGCGCGCTACGTCGCAGCCCCACGGACTCGCCATCGTCCGGCAGAAAGTGGCGCCGAGCCCCGAGCGGGTTGGGGCGCGCTCGTTTCCTCCCCTCCTCCCCCCGCACCGCTGGGCGCTCCCGGCCTCCCTGCAGCGCTCGGCATTTTGCTCCGCGCCCACCGGTTCCCAAATCCACGCGCACGTGGCTTACAGCAAGGTCTGCGGCGGAGTTTGGCTTGCTGTTGAAAATTCAGTACTTCTGGGGGCTGAGGTGTAGGAAAGCTTTTTTAAGTCAACTTGAAACCCGGATTCCCGAGTCAATGTAGCCGTTTTGTGAGGCCCATAGGATGGGACTAGAAGAAAAGGCACTGAAACATTGTAACCATTTTATTGTCCTTTCAAAGCTGCCTGTGGGCTTTGGCACAGCCACCAGCCCCACCCCCTGGGATACTACTGTCCCAGAGTATCGCAGTGAAAGGTGCTTGAAGAACCGCTCCTGCAGCCAGTGGATATCCCCGACCCCTCTTCCCCATCTCTGCCCCAAGCCCACTCCTGTGCTGGTCACAGCTGGGCCTTGACCACACTGTCTGCTTGGGATGGTTCTCACCCACTCATCCTGTCTTTGAGACACGTCTCTTTAGATTGGAAACCGGCTTGCCCCTGCCATACCCGGACTTAACCACCTTTGGCTAGCCAGGCCATCACTGGGCTCAGTGGGACTGAAACACTTTGTTCTTATTCCTCAGCTCCTTTGCGTGGATGGGGAGGACAGCCAGGACAGGGAACCAGGGTTCCCTGTCAGCATGTCTGCGATCGCCCACTCTGTCTGTCCTTTGCTGGACACAATGGTTTACAAGAGAGAGAGAAGCCTGTGGAGGAGGGGAGAGGAGGAGGCTGGGAGATGAGCTCAGAGGCATTTCTCTTTGCTGAGTAAGTGTGCCAGAACCCCTCTGAGCAGGTGCTTTGCTTGAGAAGTGAGTGACTAATTGTGTCATTAGTGTGGCTTCTGAGCAGCCCTGAGGAGGGCTGTGGTGTTCACTAGGAGGAAGGAGTGCCCTGCGGTCCTCGCTGGGAGGCCCACAGAACTCACCTGGTGAATAGCAGTGGGGTTTGGATATGGGCTAATGTGCTAGGTTTGGTCCTGTGTTTGGGATTCCTGCCCCACTTGAGGTCTCATGGAAACAGGAGAGACAGCTGGGCTTTTCTCAGGTGGCTTTGTTCCCGCACTGGGCCTTTATCACTCAGCAGCAGGTTCTACACTGAAGTCTGAGAGGTCTTTTAATGGTTCACAGGCTTATCTTGATGCTTTGGGGTTCAACTCTTCTTAACTTTCTACAAGACTGTTGAGCTGTCAACACACGTGATAACTATGTAATGGGGTCCATAGTGTTGCTGAAATAGGGGGGCCCTCACATAATTTGCCTGTGTCTGGGTGGACGTACATTCTCTGAGGACATGGGATGCTTCGAAGGACAGGTACAATATGGGGAGTTCACGTCCCCATGGAGCTGAAGCCAGCTTTCTCAGCAAACCCACCCAACAGGAGAATTCAAAAGTCACTTTCCTCACCTGGAGGTCAGGCTGGGCCCTTCCCCGTGGGCTCAGAGACCAACCCTTCTGAGCTGCCCGGTTCCATCAACTCTTGTTACTGTGCAGAAGGCCCTGAGTCAGGGCTGTGGGAGATAACAGATGTCTTTGTGCCCTCTCTACCCTTCCCAGTGGTAGAATTGTGGGAAGAAGAAGCTGCTTAGCAATTGTCTTGAAATAGACTTGGGAAAAGAAAATAATAATAATAATTAATATTATTTAGAAAAAGAAAAAAAAAATTTTTGTGGTACTAGGGCTTGAACTCAGGGCCTTCACTTGAACCACTCCACCAGCCCTATTTTTGTGATGGGTTTTTTTCGAGACAGAGTCTCGAACTATTTGCCTGGGCTGGCTCTGCACCTCCATCCTCCTGATCTCTGCCTCCTGAGTAGCTAGGAGGAGGCGTGAGCCACCGGCAACAAAAATAAATTAAAAGAAAAAAGAAGGTAGACTTGGAGCATTTTCAAGTGTTTTCTTCTAAAGATCACTGGCCCAAGCTGGAAGGCCAGGCAGAAAGAAGGTCCCCTGGGGAAATGAGGGTGATGCCCACAGCCAGCCTCCTTCACTGTCCCTGAGAGAAAGGCAGCAGCCAGGGAGGAGGGCAAGCCCCACCTGCTGTGTGTGCGGAAGTCACGGCCCCTGGGAGCCTCACTTAACTCGCCTCTCCCTCCCTTCCTCCCTCCCTCCCTCCCTCCCTCTTCATTTTCCATTAACCGCTTCCCTTCTAATCCCATCCCCTTCTTTCCCAGCCAGGCCTGGGCCTTCTGGGGCAGCTGCTGCCTCAGACTCACAAAGCTGGTTATTAAGAAGGAGCTGGAGCCCAGGAAGGCGGCCTCCAGCTGCTGCTGTAGATCACTGGGCAGCATCCCCTGGGTGCTGGGTGCCAAGGGCAAAGTGGTGGGAAGGGGCCATTTGGGGGCTGAGGCCCTGAGAGCCAACTGAAGGAATGGGGATGAGATCAGAGAGGGGTGGGGCTGCAGGGCCAGCTTCTCCTCTCTCCTCCCCTCCCCACCCCTTCCCTTCCTTTCCAGCTCAGCACAGATAGGGCAGGGATCTGAGAGGGCAGAAACATATTATCAGAGCCACTTTTCAATTCTCTCCTTGGATTAGCATGGGGCAGGCAGTGCAGGAGAGACTCACGGAGAACTGTGAGTCAACAGTGTCCAGAACAGGAGATGATCTCCCTTAAGACCATGGCAGCACTTTCTTGGTGCAGGTGTTTAGGTTGGAGTTTTAGCTCTGCCAAGTCTCTTACCTGATGGAAGCAAGGATTCCAGCAAGGCTGTGTTTGTATCCTAGGAGTCTCCAGCTGTCAAGGACAGAGAGTCAAGGGTCATCCCAGTGGCACTTAAGTTGAATGTGCGTCTGTACCAAAACAGACTTCTTGGCACTTGGGTCCTCACTCCACCCAAGAACAGAGTCTGGTGGAGTGGTTCAAGTGATAGAGTGCCTGCCGGGCAAGGGTGAGACCCTGAGGTCTCACCACCTAAAAAGAGAGAGAGAGAGAGAGAGAGAGAGAGAGAGAGCAAAGAACAGAATAGTAGCCAGGTGCAATGGTCCACACCTGTGGACCCTGTGGACCCAGGCAGGAGGATCGCTTGAATCCAGGAGTTCAAGGCTAGCCTGGGCAATGTATCAAGACCCCACCTCAAAAGACAAGCAAAAATCAAACAAAAAAAAAAAAGAGTAGGAACTTTTTTTCCCTTTTTTTTCTTTGCAGTGCTGGGGATTGAACCAAGGGCCTGGTACATGCTAGGCAAGCGCTCTACCACTGAGCCCCCAGACATTTTTTAAATGGATGGTGTATTTGCTAATTTCCTTGGGTGGGTACTGAATTTCTTGGTTGTGATAACTGCATTATGGTTACGTAGAAAAGGTCCTTGTCCTTAGGAAGCTGCGTGCTCAACTACTTAGGGATGTCATGTCATGACATGACACAAGGTGTGGGTGTGTGTGGAGAGAGCGCAGTTGGCAATATTGGCGGATCTGGGTGAAGGAATACGGACGGGTGCTCACTATATTACTCTCAGCTTTTCTATAGGTTTGGAATTTTGCAAACTACAAATGTAACCTTGGAAAAAAGAAACGAAGTGGGGAATTTCTCATTAAGCCTTGGTTGTTCAGGCTCTCTCGTGGTGTTGGTCTGGTGGCTAGACGACCTCCATCTGTCTGTTCCAGTCCTGCAACTGACTTCTAAAGTCACAGTGGCCTCTAAGATCCACTGTGTCCTCTGTGTCCCCCCTCCCCAGCCTTGTCACCACAGGGGTGCCTTCTGGAAGCTGTACAGACCCAGCCCAACCAGGATGCTCAATGAGCAGGGGAGCGACTCCCCATTGTCTGTCCTGACCACTGCCGTGGGCTCACATTGCTCTCTTCCAAAGCAGGTGGTAGAAGGCCAAATCTTTAATCACCTTGGGCTGATATAACAAATGCCATGGGCCAATGGCTTCAATGACAGCCATTTATTTCTCCCAGTTGTGGAGGCTGGAAAATCCCAGTTCAATGTGTCCGCAGATCTGATTTTTGGTTGGCTTGTAGATAGCTACCTTATCACATGACAGAGGGTGAGGGGAAGCTCTGGGGTCTCATCCTCTTCTTTTGAGGGCCCTAATCATTGGTGGCTCCAGCCTCATGACCTCACCTAACCCTAATTACCTCCTAAAGGTCCCTGTCACACTGGAAGACCTAGGTCTCCATCTTATGAGGTGGGAGGAAAGGCAGAAACGTTTAGTCCATGAGGGGCCTAGTGGTTGGCTGGGGGGTGGGGGACTGGAAAGAATCCAAATCCCATTAATTAGGACACTGGGTTAATTAGCAAATTGGCATTAACTAAGCAAGGACAATAGCAAACATAGAGTAGGGGGTTCACAGTAATTCTAGCACATACATCAATTTGACAGACAGTGCCTCAAAGGACTGCATGGAGTTCAGTGTTTCATAGCTCAAAAGGGGGAGGTTTTTTGGTAAAGTTGTTTAAACTCAGAATTTAGTATTTTTCTTCTTTTTAAGAAAGGAAGTCCTGGGACTTTCCTAATAGCTTGGCTTTGTTCTTTTTTCAGAGAGGAAGAGTCTTGATTGCACATGGGAAAGTTAGCCATCAGAATTTTTACTTACTGGAAGGAGTAAATTTTTAAAGAACATGTCTCAGAGAAAAAGCCACGTAGCAATGGAGAGTCAGAAACAAAATTCTGCACATGTTCACCTTTAAGATGGCTTCTCTTTGGTGGCCCTGCTCCTTCCCAGGCAGCCCAGACCACAGCTCAGCTCTTGGAGGAGGTTCTTT